TATAAAAATAAAACTGAAAGCTGGGTATCACATTTCTGTAGTTCCAGCATCCTCAGTCTATAGTCATAAGTTCACTCCTATGGGTGGGGAAGCAGGGAAGGGCAGTTATTCAGCAGGCTTAGTTACACTAGGTATTAAGACTTCCACACATGTTTTCCCCCCAGCCTTTTAAACTTGAAAGAAACCATGAGCCTTAATTTATATGTTTTGTTTCCTTTCCATGATTGAACACCTGGTAGTTGACCAACTGATAGACCTTTAGGCCATGAGTAGCTCATGGTACATTTATGCTGTTATAGTACAACATGCAATGATCACAAAATGGCCTGACATATAAATGGTGTCTTGGAATAACTTTATGTTATATTAGTCAATAGCCAAACCCTTAATCCATACGTTTTACTTCATTTTGTGAATAGTTAAGCTCATGTACCGAAATGCAAACTTGCAATTATTTCTGTAAATATAAGGGGCTGATATTGTTTCTTGTAATTACAAATAACTATTAATACAGTATTCTTCAAAAATAACAACAAAAGGGGCCAGGAAGGTGGCTCAGTGGTTAAGAGCAACTGCTGCTTTTGCAAAGGACCCAGGATTGGCTCCTAGCACTCTCATGACAGCTTACAAGCATCTGTAACTCCAGGGGATTTGACAGTCTCTTCTAGCCTTCCAGGGCACGAGGCACACAAGCAGTGCACTTAAATAAATGAAAGCAAAACACTCATAAATAAACATTAAAAAAAAAAAGCAATAGCAACACAGGAAGCAAGTCTGCACGACCATATGAAAGCTCAAGTGTTCTAATAGTAGTACCCAAAATACATTTCAACAGCCTCTGATCTTAGCAACTTACACAATTAAACACTACACAGAACTATAACTTACCTACAATTCACGGTTGCTTTTCCACCTTCAAATTCTGAATCCTTCCCCCATCTTTGAGGTAATTCTAATGCCATAAGTCCTTTCATTCCAATAAGTGCTACATGATGTTGCGTTGGACTTAACAAGACTTGATGGATTTCAAATAGGGGTGGATTTATGCAAAGTAATCTCTGAAAATTAAAGCAATTTAATAAAAATAGTTTATTTTAATGTTAATATATTTGAGAGTTGCTTGAAAACACAATCATGCTTTAATTATCAGTAGCTACAAAATAATAGCATTTGGGATTAGTACTGATACTTGTTTTATTAACCAATTATTCCCCAAGACAGATGACTAAAGCCATAAAAATACTTTCTCCTCTTGCAGAGGACCAGAGTTTGATTCCCAGCACCCACATTCTTGGCTCACACTGTCTGTAACTACAGGTATAGGGATTCAGACACTCTCTTCTGGCTTCCCGGAGCACCTGTACTCACACACACACTTAAAGTCTTAGGGCTAGAGAGATGGCTCAGTGGTTAGTAAGAGGCACTGGCTGGTCTTTCAGAGAACCTGGGTTCAATTCCCCACACCCACATAGTGGTTCTGTAACCACCATCTGGCCTCTGTAGGTACCAGGCACACGGATGGTACATATACACATATACAGAGAAAATATGAACATACAAAAAGTTCAAATCAATGCAAAACAAAATGCTTTAGCAAGGCAGTGTTGGCATACACCTTTAATCCCCGAACTCTGGAAGGCAGTCAGGAGGCTCTCTGAGTTCAAAATCAACTGGTTTACAGAGTGAGTTTCAGGAAAGCTGGGGCTACACAGAAAAATTCTGTCTCAAAAAAACAAGTTGGGTGGTGGTGGTGAACAACTTTTGATCCCAGCCCTTCGGAGGCAGAGACAGGCAGATATCTGTGCGTTTGAGACCAGGCTGATCTACACAGCTAGTTCTAGGGCAGTCAGGGCTGCAGTGAGAAACCCTGTCTCTAAAAACCAAAAAACAAACCACAAAAACTTGGCCCCTCACATAATGTAGTAGGCACTACTTGAGATTTGTTTTTCTTCTTTGTATTCCTGGCATCAAGCAGACTCTTGATAGTTAAATGAATAAATAACTTTAGAAGTATTAATAAAAGATAACCATTTTATAAACTGTACTTTAGAATAAAGAATACCTTCAGGGCAAATGTGGTAGTATACACCTTTATTCCCCGTTCTGAGAAAGATTACAGGTGCCTGTTTGAGTTCTAGACAACACAAAGCTACAACGTGAAACCCTAGATTAGCTTCAAGAGCTTTGCAGCAAACTACTGATTTAGCTGTGTGCACAGTATCAAAGAGTGATAATTTTAAGGGAGTTCCAATAATTTGTTATCCCATCACACATCCTCAAAAAATACTTTCATACTGATAATTCTTATTTCTTTTCTCATGACTATTTCGGATTTCTATTTTCTTTTCTTTTACTCTTAGTAAATAATGATGAGACTCTCAATATATTACCTTTGTATGGAGAACCATCTAAGTCAAAATTATTTAAGACAAAGCTTTTTTGAATATAATGAGATCTCTAATTGCTTTTATATGTAGACTAGCAAGTCTTTTTTAAATGCCTGTTACAGGAGCTGGGCACTGGTGGAACACAGCTTTAATTCTAGCTTTTATCAGGATCTGCCTGATCTCTGAGTTCAAGGCCAAGCAAGTTCCAGAACAGCCAGGGCTGTTGCACAGAGAAACCCTGTCTTGAAAAACCCAAAACAAAACAACCACAATAACAAAAAAAGTCACCAAATAATACAGAGCTCTTGCGTACTTTAAGTTTATGTCGAGTGCTGGACATAAAAAAGTAAGGTAAACATAGCATCTGTTTTGGTGTTTACAAATGAGAAAATACAACAAAAGTTTTAAAGTAATTATTACTGAACTAAATGTTACAAAGCATGAAAATGCTATTAACTGAAAACGAACAGTGTACTGCAACCAGGTATGTTATCCACTTTTAGTCAGGCAGAAGCAGCGCTTAAGATCAGGAGCTTGTGGTCAGTATGGTTACAGGATCATCATTCACTTGTACACACAGTCTGTTAACATAGGGTCATCACACACACACACACACACACACACACTGCCTGGTTCAGACCTGTAATCTTAACACTATAAGAACTTGGAGCAAGAGTTCCAAACATAGGGTCATCACACACACACACACACACACTCTCTCTCTCTCTCTGCCTGGTTCTGACCTGTAATCTTAACACTATAAGAACTTGGAGCAAGAGTTCCAAACCAGCCTGGCATACCAGTGGTTCCAGACCAAAGGGGAACAAAATCAAAACAAAATAATTACTGAAATATTTGAATTTCTGATATTTAGTGGGAATTTTACAGCAGGCAGATGTGTAAATGTTGACCTAGTTTCTCAACAGTACTGGCTGCACCTTGTTAAAATCAAATCACTTCTCAACGAGAACTGGCTGGTCCAGGGCATACAGCAGATTTCAAACATTAGAATGAATGTCATATTTTGGTTTTTGTTTTGTTTTGTTTTGCTTGCTCCTTTTTTCTTTTTGAGACAGGGTCTTTTTATATAGTCCTGGATCTCACTATGTAGACCAGGCTGGCCTCAAACTCAAAGAGATCCTCCTGCCTCTGAAGTGCCAGAATTAAAGGCCTGTGCCACCAATTATGGCTTTAAAAAAAAAAAAAAAAGTGTTTAATTGTGGAGCAAGGTGGGGGTTTTTGTTTGTTTTGAATTAATTTTTTGGGTGGGACTTGGGAGGATGCTACAGGTGTGAGGGTCAGATTTGGAGGGACTGGGAGGTGAGCGAGTTTTGGGTGCATGATGTGAATTTCTCAAAGAATTATAATTGATATATACGGTGTGTGTGTGTAGGGGGGGGTCTCTAAAAGAGAATCAGTTTACTACAAATGAACACTTCAATAAAACAGTATTCGGTTAAAGCAAGTCTAGAATACATTCTGATTATATCAACTTTCACAAGCCATTCACTGGCTCATCAAAAACAAAAAGGTTTGAAGATCTAGCTCAGAGTTGGAACTCCTATGTTTCACCGGTGGAGGCAAAGGTGTGCTGACAGTAGCGTATGCGCGTGTGTCGGTTCCCTGCACTGCAACAAACGAAAAAGCCTTTCCAACTCTAGGGAGCGTTTAAAGGGGCAAAGCCAAAACAAAATACAGGGATTCTCTTTTCATGTCAGGCAGGTAATTTGGTCCCTTAAATCTGTCTAAAAGTTCTCAAAAACCAAAACAACGTGTCACATCTTTAAACAGGGTTCTTTTGGTCAAACAACTAAAACCATCTCCGCCAACTCTGTCCTTTTACGGTCCTGTCTTTCCCCTCCAGACACTCAGAACACCAGTGCCTAAACAGCACGAGTTCCTCTAAGTGCCCCGCAGTGGCCGAGACAATATACCCGCTAGAGAGGAATAAAAATCGGAAAGACGGACTTTTCCAATCGAAGCGAGGCGGTATGTTCCCGAAAGACGCCTGCTTCAAGTCTGCTACCACACCCGCTACAGAGCCAAACAACCAAGATGGGAAGCGAACCACAAAGTTGGGTGAGATGCCGGCCAAGGGTCGCTTTCAAGACGGACGGGCGCACCTGATACTGGGAGAGAGGGGGCTCCGCGCCGCCACCGCTGGGGCCTCGAAGGCGAACCACCAAGAAGGCGCTGCTTTCTGCATCCCATAGGAAGAGCTCCCCTCCGAGGCCGAAGACCAGGTTTCTTGTCAGCAAATGCGGCGGCAGAGGCGGGCACGAGGGCGACGTCGAAGCCGCTGGCTTCTCCGCTTCGGCTGGACTCTGGTTTTTCAGGCCCTCGCGAAGCCGCAGGAACACAACATGGTTAGGAAGCCAGCTCTGCCACAGCTCCCCATCACCCGCAGGCCCCTCGGCAGCCGCCATCTTGAACCAACAGCTCTGGGTTCTAGCCCGCCGCGGCGCGTAGCCAATCCGGAACCAGCACTCCACGGCTTCAGCCCGAGGACAGGCATCACTAGAGGAAAGCCAATCTACAGCGCTGCAGATTGACGTCAAAGTGGGCGGGGCGGGGCCAACACACCGCGGGTTTAGAGCTGGTTTGGAAGGTCGGTCCGTAGGGTTAAGAATGAGACCTGTGCATCTAGTTGTCTACTGACGCCTCCCTCTGGGTAAAACCAGAACTTTCTCTCAAGACTCACCTCCCTCAGCCCAGGTGGCATTTACTTCTCAACTGTCACAACTTCATCCATCCTTGGATTCCCCTAAACTTGTCTCTGTGAGGGGACAGCAACTAGAGACAGTTCCAAGAAAGCCTGACGACCTAAAGGGCAATCAGCCCCCTGGAACTAGAACTTCCAGAATCCTTCGCGCGCGGCTAAGGGGCGGGGATTCGGAAGCCATCTCCGGCTAAGAGATGGCAGAGTCCTCTGGATCTCCGCACCGCCTGTTGTATAAACAGGTGGGCTCGCCGCCCTGGAAAGAAGTTTTCAGGCAGGTGAGTTTGAGATTTGGATGTAATCACTTCTCTAATCTGTCCCAAGGACCGCTGTTCTCGGTGCCCTTGCTTCAGCATTGGTCGTGAAGCAGATGCCCAGAGTGCTTGGCCAGCGAGGTGAATCTTGAACTCGACTATTGCCACAGGACTGGTTCCTGGCCGCCGCTCCATACCTTTTGGGCTTTTGGCTGGAGCAGGTGCTATCCCAGGAAGCTTTGTTTTTTGGGTTCGAGTTTGTTTCATATTTTAAGGGTCATGACAGCGGTAACTGCTGTTTGCTGTGTCACCACTCTGTATGCATATGTCGTGTGAGATAGAAGTTATTTCTCTTCTAAAGATTCAGAAGAGTCTCAGTTACTGTTAGGAGAGTTGTACTTAAGCTCAGGTCTCTTCTGAAGACAAGTAGTTCCCTCTAAGAAACAGCTTACCTCCCTGTTCAGCATTCTCTAAAGGAGTAGGTGTATTCTAGAAAAACAATTGTGATGCTGGAAATAGTGTGTGTGGTAGAGTTTCTCAACTGTGAATACTGACATTTTGGAGGAGAAAGTTCTGTTATGGAAGGTTGTTTTGTGCAATGTAAAACAGATGAGGCATCCTTGGCCTACCTACTAAATGGCATCAGCCAGCAACAGTTCTACAAGTAGAGCTGTGGCAACCAAAAATGGTCCTGAGTTGGGGTTAGAGAGATGGTGAAGTGTTAAGAGCACTTATGCCCTTGCAGCAGACCTGGTGGCTGTAGCTCCAGTTGCCATCTTCTGGCCTCTGTGGTCACCCGAATTGATGCAGTGTACATAAACTTATACAGACACACACACATACACATTTTAAAAAATTGTCAGGGTTGAGAAGTACTGTTATACAAGAAGATTATCACTATAGCATTATGTATAGTAACAGGAATTTGGAAGCCATATAAATGTCTGACACCAGTTTGTGGACGCAATTACTATGCACCCGACCACTTGCATTCAAGATAAAATGTGAACTATGGGAATCTGGAGATACATGAGCAAAAGCACTGTGATTTTACCTACCTGTGTGTGGGTGAGGACTTGAGAATAAGAAATTTTGCATCTAAAACTAAAATAATTTTATGAACTAATTGGAGGTGTTTTCCTTTCTTTCTTTTTTAGTGTAATTGACCTCTTCTTTTACTATTGTGGCCCCTTTCCCCCAGGGATGTCTGGAGAGAATGAGAAGCAGCCGGCACAGGCTCCTGAACAAGTACCGCCAGGCTGGAGGTGGCACACCAGGGAAAGCCTCAGATAGATTTCTTGTGCAAGAAGTGATGGAGGAAGAGTGGAACTCTTTGCAGTCCGTAGAGAATTATCCAGAGGCCTTGGCTCAGGTTAGGCAAGGGTCTGTTGCTAGCGGCCACTCCATGAAGAACTTCTGCTGACAACTTTCTATCAGTTTATCCAGGTCTTTTCAATCTACCCACTTCCCAGCCCCCAAGCATAATTCTAACAGCCTTTTGGCTCAGGCTTTTCTAATTTTGAGTAATTATTTTATATTGATGGCTCTGCAATACTAGACTGTAGGCGTGTTGCAAACTTGTAACAAAACTAAACTTATGGAGCTAAAAGGAGAGAAAATTTCATTCTTGCTTTCCCTATTGAAAATGTTGACTCACTGGGAATGGGTTAGGGGCCACCCTTTGACAAAGGATGTCTACAGCAACATTCTGATTCCGGACAATCAGTTTGGAGTTGTGTGTCCATAGAAAGCCATACAATGTATCAGGGAATGCTATGGGTTGGCTTCAGGATTTAGGGATTCTGTTTAGTTTTACTGACTCACAACTTTACCGTTTATTTCTTTGAACCTTAGGTTTTTATATTTACATACAATAGAGATGACAGCATGAGCATTATGAGAATTGTGTAACAAAACATGAAACCCTTTGAAACCATCGACACACTGTGTAATAATGATGCACTTTCAGGGGCATCTATGAGTCCTACAGTATGCTAAATCACCAGTTAGTGCTCACAGGAGGCTTCTCAGGTCAGTTGTATTCTAGCTTTATAGAAGCTGAAACAGCTTTTCAAAGACTAGATATCTTCATATGGCCAGTCTTAGGACTTCTTCTTAGCTGCTGCCTGATTTTGTCTCCCTTAAATTTGGTGGTACTTTGATCATATGTTGTTTAGCATGGCCATATTACTGTACTGTCAGCAAATTCTGCATTCTGACTAGACCACTTTGCCAAGTAAATCTGGGGTCTTGGAGGCAGCTTCTAGTTACAAATCCCTGTGGGACTTGGTGGCCAATTAATCCTTTATATGGAAGGTGAAGACACCATTTTCTGCTCTGTCTGACTGTCAGGCTCTAGGCCAGTGCGGCTCCATTGAGCTATACTCCCTGCTGTCCACTTTCTCTTGTAGTTGGGACTGCCGGAGGACCTAGCTGTGCTGCAGGACATTGAACAGGAGCTGTGTGATGAAGGTAATCACAGGATGTAGTCTTTTCCTGCCTACGTGCACCTACTCTTAATGCTGGCCTTTCCTTGACTCATGATTGGTTGTTGTTTTAGATTGCTTAGGTGCTAGGGATTAAACCCAGAGCCTTTTGCATGGAGGCAACCACTAAAGCTATATCCCCAGCCCTAGGATTAGTTCTTAATTCCTGTTCTTCTACCTCCATCATCAGTTAAGTGTCCACAAGTCTCTGTTGGACTCCTAATTCTTGGCTGTTTGTCCTTCCAACAGTAAGGGCTGTGGGCTCTGGCTGGGAACTTCTCATTCCATGATACCATTACTTCATTCTGACTACTGTGAAAGACGGGATTAGATGGGATAGAAAATGGTATCCTCACACAGGTCACATAGCTAGTCAGTGGTAGAGTTGGGAAGCAGTTGCCATGTTTGTTTCATCCTGCCTCTTGCTGCTTCATTCAGGTGGGCACTGTGGCTGTGACTTTAGGACCAGCTACTTGTGGCTTAATGTAGGAGGATGGGCTTTCAGTAAGGTGCTTAGCCCTATAGTTTCAGACTAGCCAGGGTAGGGTAATGAATCCTGCCTCTTGAATAGTAAATTTGTCACCTTGCATACACGTGCACATCTTTACATGTACACCCAAGGGCCATCTCTCATCCATTCTTTACTGTCTGCCCATGAATTTGTGAACATCAGCTTAAGATACTAATGGCATTGTGTAGAACACACAGTTTTGCATCTTACATCTGTAAAAGTAACAGGTCTGCCCTATGGGTACAGGACAACCTAGGCTCTTTGCCTTGCAGAAAAGTCCATCATAAGCGAGTATGAGAAGAGCTTACAGTTTGATGAAAATTGTCTCAATAGCATGTTGGCTGAGTGGGAAGCAAACCACCTCATCTGTCCTGTGTGTATAAAGTAAGAATTTTCAAAATCTTTTTAGCATTATTGGTTCTCATTCCATACTCTAAAGTGAGGGATCCCTCTGCCCCCCTAGATTATTGCCTGAGAGGTATAGGGAGCCAGGTCTTATGACCACAGTGATCTGGGAATCCTAATTCTGTCTCTAGGTACAACCTGAGAATAATGAACAGTGTGGTCATGTGTCCATGTGGCCTGCACATCCCATTTCACGTAAGTGTCCACACAGATTCCCTATATGTACCAACTGTATTAAAGAAACTTACATCTGGGCCAGCAGCTACCTTTCTTGTCACAGACAAGGTGCCCAGCAGCAGTAACCTGAGAGAGGTTTATTTTGGCTTATGATTTCAGAGGGATCAGTGCATCATGACAGGGAAAGCAGGTCACAGTGGTTTCATGGGGATGAAAGCTGGGTACTGTCAGCCCAGGTCCTCTAGAAGAGCAGGAAGTACTCCTAACTACTGAGCCAACTCTCCAGATCCCCCCCCCCATTTTTTTTTTTTTTTTTCTTTTGTTTTGAGGCAGTCTAGTAGTAGTACAGGCTGGCCTCAAACTTAATTGTAGCTCAGCTTCTGATCCTTCCGAGGTCACCTTCCAGGTGCTGAGGTTACAGGTGTGTGCCGCTCTGTCTGATCTTTATACTGTACTGGGAATGAAGCACAGTGTTCCATGCTTGCTAGGCCAGCACTCTACCACCGATCTACATCCCCAGCTCCACAGTCTAAGGCTCCAGAGAATCAAACCGTGTTGATTGATTTCGGTTTTCAACCTGTTGGTTATACAATATTTAAGATTAGTTGGAGCTGGAGAGATGACTCGGCACCTTGGCACACTGACTGTTCTTCCAGAGGACTGGGGTTCAATTCCCAGTACCCACATGGCAGCTCACAACTATTTATTACTCCAGGTTCCACCACCCAAATACAAACATACAAGCAAAAACACCAATACTTTTTTTTTTTTTTTTTTTAAAAAGGATTAGGGCTGGAGAGATGACTCAGAGGTTAAAGAGCACTGGCTTCTCTTCCAGAGGACCCAGGTTCAATTCCTAGCACCCACATGGCAGCTCACAACTGACTGTAATTCCAGTTCTTGAGGATTTGGCATCCTCACACAGATGTCTGTCCATGCAAGCAAAACACCAATGTACACAAAGTAAATAAATTAACTTTTAAAAAATTAGTTGTGGCTGAACTTTCCTAGTCTCCAGAGTTGACAGAGCAGAAGCTTCGTGCCTGTTTGGAGGATAATGTAAATGAGCACAGTGTACACTGTCCCCACACACCCATATTTTCGGTCACCGGTGGAACAGAAGAAAAGCCCAGTCTTCTAATGAGCTGCTTGGTAAGCCTCCATGGGACCTAGTCAGTTGCAGGAGCAAATTAGCAGTCGGTTCTGTTCCCCTCTTGGTGGAAATAATGGCTTAGAAATAATATTTAATGTTTTTTGAGGGATTTACTTCACAGGATATATTAGCTAGGTAAGTGGTGGCACTTACCTGTAATCCCAGTACTAGGGAGGCTGTGGCAGAAAGAGGTTAAGGCCAGTCTAGACTACATAGTGAGAACCTGTCTCAGAAATAGATATTGGGCTGTCAAGATGGCTCAGCAGCTAAGAGCACTTGCTGCCCAGCTTGTAAACTTCAATCCTTGGACCTCATGTGGTAGAAGCAGAGAACAAATTCCTACAAATTGTCTTTTGTCTTCCATAAACAGATTGGGTGTGCTGTGCATGCATGGGCATACATGCACACATGAAGAATTAAAACATGAGTAGTCAGTTAAATAGCCTGGTAAGAAAAGGGAGGAATAGGCTCAAATTTGTGGCCAAACATTGGTCTGGAAACTGGAGACTCTGCACAACATGATTTTTTGTTGGATCAGCAGCAGTGTCTTGATCTCCATACATCAGGCCACAGTCCTGAACGCCAGATGGCCAGATGGCATTACTTTTGAAGGTAGACACAGGCTAAGCACAGTAAAGCAACACCAGGTTTGTCTCTCAGCAAACTTCCATAGAAGGCTAAACTTGTTAGCTACATTAGTGATGGTTTCAGTTTGACAGAGCAGGTCCATTGTAAGACATGGCCTCTTCAATAAAGTATTCCAGCAAATTGGTTCATAATGGTTCCTTCTGTAGTGTACATGTCATGATCAATGAGAACTTTCAGCCATGCATGCATCCAGACTGTCATGGTGGTAGAAAGTTATTTACACTAACTTGTTTTCTGTTTAATCCAGGCTTGTGACACTTGGGCTGTGATCCTCTAGTCATCCTGACCTCACACTTCACTGCTGGGCTATGGACAACTCATTCCGAGAGGGCCCCTGTATGAACAAGTCTTTTGTATAACTATATTTTATATTAAAACTTTTCAAACATCTTTGCTCTTGGTGTTCTAATGCAGGGAAAAAAAAATCCCAGAAAGTACAAATTTTTCTTGGAGGAGATAAAACCAATTTTATTGTCCATCATTATGTTATATAAAAATCTACAAATAGATTTGTACAGGAGAAAAATACCCAAATGAATAGCAAATGGAAGTGTAACAGCAATAACTTAAACTTGCTTTTTTCCTCCCATGATATTAATTAGGATGACAGCCATTTCAAAGCTAATGGCAAAGTAGCTTTTGTTCACTGGCCAAAGCTTGCCATTTAATTAAAGCCCCCAGTCTCTGACAGTTCTACTGGCTCTTGACAAAACTTTTGAGGTCTTCAAGGAAGGTGATATATTCTTGGTGCTCTAGGGCTGTACTGAGCTCCACCAACTCATCTGCAAAAGTGTTGTCCACCCCTCGGTCCGCAAGGAAATCCATCAGGTGGTCATACAAGGCCTGGGAAGAAAAATATTGACTAGCTTGAAGAGCAGCAGAACAAAATAAAAAATATGGTTTGGCAAGATGGCTTTGCAGGTAAAGTTGTTAGTTTTTTTTTTTTTTTTTTTTTTTGGACCCACATATTGGAAAGAACAAACAATGTAGAAAGCAAAGAACCAAGCAAATTCCCAAAGTTGTCCTCTGACTGTCCCACATGGGCCATGGCATTTATGAAAATATTTTTTTTTTTTAATAATGCCATTTCCATTCCTTGACCCTTTTCTGCAAAAGCTAAGCACCCTCCATTCTCAACCAGCACTCACCCAGTCTAGGGAATCTGTGTTGAGTGTGTAGTTAGTATCCCTCCATTCAGAGTCACCAGTGGCCTGGAAGCTAACTTCCTTGATGGAGAAAATATCACTCTCGGTCTCTTCTTGTTCAATCTGAGAGAGCAGAGGGAAGGAAATAAAGGCTCTGCATTTCCCTCCCCATTTTCACCTGTCTTGCCCTCCCATCCTGGTCTAGATATTAACCAGGTCTTTCCTGTACATATTACATGAGATCAGATGTCACTCCACCCTACAAACCTCATCCTCAGGATAGTGACAGTCCAGTACAAGGGTCTTCTTGCCATCACTCTTTGTAACTTCAACCACAAAGTTGGGAGTTGAAGTCAGTTCCGGCTGGAAAAACAGGAACAGGTCAGTATAGTATGCCAACGCTGGTGGTGTGCACACCCAGACCGGTGGCCTCAGGTAGTGCAGAGTGTTACAGCCATGGCCATCTTCCAATACAGCACTAACAGTTCAATCCTGTTAGCAACTTACTTTCTAAAAGAGCACAGTTTAGAGTAGTGTCTGAAGCCAGGCACAGCTCTGGACCAGCTCACAGAGCTGGACCAGCCCTTCAGAGCACCGAGGTGCTGGCTGAAGCAGGCCTGGAGGAGCTCCTTCCCCTGTGGCTACTTTAGAACAGAATCAGAGCCTGGCACTGGCACACTAGCTCTGGCTAAGTGGCTATCTTAACCAGGAGAGGCAGTGACTTCCTTCTCTGTTGACCCAAGGAACAAGCCCCAGACAGTTGGGATTCACACTATTGACAGAAACACAACAGGGAACTCTGCTTTCCACACTTGTCTATAAACAGTGCTGACATCTGCTTAGTCAGACAGCCTGGGGAATCCTGTGACCCTCACAGTGGTTGGCTTCTAGGCCAGACATACCATTTCTGAATTGTTTGAATATGATCTAGATCCAGCCATGTGGGCCAGAAACCCAAGAAAAAGAAAATCTCAGCTGGCCAAATATAAAAATCTTTTAAGGATGGACTAGCAAGATTTCTCCCAAAGGCAGATGACCTCGGCTCAACCCTGGGACCCACAAGACAGGTTTAAAACTGTTCCTGCAAGTTGCTTTTGATGCCTTCAAGAGCACACATTCTATCCCACATAACAAACACAATGTGAAGAAAATAAACAGAATTTACAAAATTTTTCTTAATCCTTAATTTTGGACAAATGACTAGTACTGACTACCTAATTATTAGAATACCTTTTACACTAAAAACATGCCAAATGATATTGTCTTGATACTAAGTATTCACTTGGTCTATGACACAGGAAGGGGTAAGACAGTCATATCTCTTTTGTATTAAGGAATACAGGCCCCGCAATCAAGCCTAAACCCTGCTGAGGAGCAATGTACCTACTACCCTAGAACATGACCCTCACTTCCAGCTAAAACCCATTCCAAACTACTGCTCTACAAACCCAGGGGGTGGCATCCCCACCCCCTCCTAGCATAAGGAAAAATTTTTTTCTTTTTTGAATGGGGGGTGGGGTTGAGACAGGGTTTCTGTGCTGCCATGGCTGCCCTGGAACTTAATCTGTAGCCCAGGCTGGCCTCAAACTGGATTCCCCTGCTTCTCAAGTGCTGGATAAAACACATGCAGGAAGAGGAATTTAAGTAATAATCCTTCTAGCACAGTGCAGTTGTGCAGGCCTTTTAAGATTTATTTATTTATTATGTATACAGTGTTCTATCTGCATGTACCTCTGCATGACAGAAGGTACCAGACCTCATTATGGATGGCTGTGAGCCACCATGTGGTTGCTGGGAACTGAATTCAGCACCTCTGGAAGAGCAGCTACTGTTCTTAACCACTGAGCCATCTCTCCAGCCCATGTGCAGGCTTTTAATGCCAGCACTTGGGAGGCAGAGACAGGCCCATCTCTGTGGAGTTCAGGCTAGCCTGGTTTACAAAGCAAGTTCCAGGACAGCCAGAACTGTTACATAGAAAGTACACGTTTCAACCTCCCCCCCCCCCCCCCAGTCTTTCTTGTCTTTTAGGAAAGAAAATGGCCGGAAGTATTACTAGCTTACCTCCTGTTCTTCAGCCTTCTGCCCTTGGGAGGGCTCTTCCTCCTCACCACCAAATGATTGAGGGATGCTATTGTTAATGTTGAAAGTGACAGTGATCCTAGAAAGGCAAGTGAAAACACACTAAGGTACAATAAGGTACACAAGAGGGAGACCTGCTATACAGTAAGGCAAGTGTAAAGGCACGCTGAAACAATGTCTCCATCCCAGGCAGCTGCACAGGGAATTAAGAACTTTAAATAGCCAAAAGGCTGGCATCCTGGGGTCTTTCTAGGGAAGCTGATGGAGGTGGGCAGCCATCCACCCCAGGAAAAAAGCTTCACAAAATACTGCAGAACAGATTCACTTTGCACAATCACAAACAGGGAACTGAACCACCACTAACTTCTTCTTCCCCTCTTTTCTGAGGTTTTGGAGCTCAAGCAAACACCCTATGTATGCCTGGCAAATGTTCACAGCTGCATATGGCCCCTTCACCTTGTGGCAACTGTAACTTGTAAGAATCTGTACGTGACAAACAAAACATGTTCTAAAATAAGATAAATGTCTTTGCCATGACACCTGCAAGCAGAAGTTCTAGACCATTCTAATTCAGCAGGGCCAACCTATATAAGAGCACACTGCTTTCTGGAGGCAAACTGGCCAATGCTTTGCTATCAGGCCACTTTGCCACAGAAAAAAAGTGGTAGGCTGGCTGAGCCATAAAACATGCCTAATCTTGTACTAAGCTGAGTTCCTGGGCACAAAAATTGGCTAATAGCATAACATGATTTATTTAGGTGAAGTTACAAGTGACCTATGTATGAGGCAAAACACTATATGCTATGAACAAATCAGAGCCTTCCTTCACAAAATGGGCCACAGACCTTAAGGTCTGAAGCTGCAGAAGTCTAAGAAAACACAGACTCCATTCTTTGCAATCTTTTCCAGGCAATGGTTTCTTAGTGCTAAGATTAAAAAGTCTAAGTGTGTGTAGAGATGGAGATTGAACCCAGAGTCCCACACTGTTAGGCAAGCAGTTTGAACATGGCTTACATTCTCCCCTCATGTGTGCCAGAATTTAATTCCTAAAGTTAATGATAGTAAGAGGGAGAGTCATCTCCCCATCCTTGGTGCTAGGGATCAAGTCCAGGGCTTCATGTATCTACTGAAGAGTGACATCAACTAGTGTCAACCTGTGCCATTTAGTAATGGAGCTTCGCTGGTATATTCAAACTAGTTGGGGTCCTGTTCCAAGCCAATATATCAGTGATTGGTACTGGTTGCAAAGGAAAAAAAAAATATCTTCTACAAGAAATGACTGTAGCAATCGTACTTCATGGTAGGTCCCATTGGCCAACATAAAGCAAACTCAATGCTATTTTGTACACATGACTTAGATTAGGCTAGACTTGACTTTAAAGTTCTGGCCTTGAACTTTCTTTTCTCTCTCTCTCTTTTTTTTTTGAGACAGGGTTTCTTCTTGGTATTGCTTTGACCCAGTCCTGGAACTAGCTCTGTAGATCAGGCTGGCCTTGAACTGCCTGCCTCTGCCTCCTGAGTTCTGGGATTAAAGTTGTGAGCCACCACACCTTTTTCTTTTTAAAGGTTTTAAGACAAGATTTCTCCGTGTAGCCTTGGCTGTTCTGGAACTTTTATAGCAGGTGGGCCTTGAACTCAAGAGATCTCCCTGGATTGAAGGTGTGTACCACCACTGCCCTGCCTGGCCTTGAACTAGGATTACAAACTGCATTCTTACAGGTGTCATGAGGCACTGGATCCTGGGCCTCACACATGCTAGAGCCAGCCAGAGTAGGACTTCTCTAAGACTGGTGAAAGTAACAAAACATAAACAAAGGCTGAACAGTTTTTACAGTTTTAGGGGCACCAGTTGTGGCACAGGCCTGTAACTTCAGCACATAGTATCTGGAGCAGAAGGACTAAGAGCTTGAGGGTAGCCTGTGCTAAAAAGTAAGAGACACTGGTTTCAAAAAGCAGTGTAGGGGAGCAGTATGCTAAGCTTGGCAAAGAACTACTGATATGGCAGCACAGACCAAGGCGGTGAGCTCTCAGTGCTGGTGGTAAAATAGCCGCCGCCATCTTAGGTAGACTGCAGCTAAAACTGTGAATCATTTTAGCAATGCTGTTTACCAGATAAAAGACTTGTGGCCAGAAAAAGATAAAGATTTACAGTAAAGACAGATTCACATTAACAAAAGGCGCTAAAGGTATACAGTGTTTTAAAATATACGTAGGCTTGGGAGAAAGAAAAAAAAAAGGTTTTAAAAAGATAGCGAGGAGCTGGGTGTGGTGGCACATGCCTTTAATCCCAGCACTGGGAGACAGAGGCAAGCAGATCTGTGATTTCAAAGTAAACCTGGTATGCAGAGTGAATTCCAGGACAGATAAGAGTTACACAGAGAAGCCCTGTCTCAAAAAATGAAAAAATAAAGTTAAAAAAAAGTGTAATAAAAAAAAACCAAGTAAAGATGGGAGAATCTGGATACTATATGGTGTTACATTGTCTCTGTATCGTTTGACTGCTGAGGAAATAACAACTGTTAAAGCAAATGCTGCTGGATCAATCCAATTTATATTCAAAATTTAAGTCTAAGGACATGTTACTGGGGAAAAGGATTTCTATTTTTGTTTCCACAGAAAATGAAAAGCTGTGGATTCCTTCTAGACTAATATGGTTTGAGCAAGCCAGACCCCCTGAAACTATGTTCCAGGTGATCCAACACTCAAAACTCAAAAGTTGGGACAAGCCATCCTTGCAGACTACAGCCAGGATTTCTTCATCTTTTAGGATTCCTCATGACAGCGCCCTTTACCAGCAGGAAGTAGTTTGGAAAGAACAATGTCCAAATTCCCAAATGGCCTTTCTACACTGTAACTTCATCCTGTTACTTAAACAGTTACACATCATGCATTTTCAACTGCCAGAGGGGATAATTTTATGTGAGTTCTAAACAAAATAATTAGCAGCACTTTAAACATTCCTAAATTCCAGTGCCTAAATCCAGGTAGGACACAACACTGTCACCAATAACCTAATACAACAGACTGCCCTCTACATATTTTGGAGCTGTTTCATGTCTCCTTAATTACCAGGCCACAGCAAATGTGTCAGCGAATGTCCTTCCTGGAAACTAAGCAAATTTCCAACTGCACGCTTTCTCAAAAGCCATTTTACCAAAACATGGGGTCTAAGCTCAGGATCTTCTGGGGATGGCCAAGACAGGGTGCAACCGAGTAAGGGATTCAGTCCTAGAACTCCTAGGCCAGTACTCACTTTTCTCCAGCAACTTTGCGCAATAATTTAGCCTCAGTCCCGTTCACTTCCAGCTCCCAATCTCCAGACATCTTGGGAAGAGACTTATGCTTCTGGATTTTCTTCTCTTCCTTAATTTCATCCGTCAAGAATTCAACAAAGGCTTTGTCTCCTAAGAGACAAGACACGGTCAAAAAGTGAAAGCCAATTGCCTTACCCTATAGACCTGGACTGTTTCTATGGCTAAGACTCTACCCCAATTCACATCCTACTCTGTAAAATCAGGATATATTTACTGGGCGGAACTGGGTTCTAGGAGTTATTTCCCTTCATGGACTTACTGTTATTATTACTCTCAATATAAAACAAAAGAATTCCCAACTACCAGCTTTCACTTGCCAAAAGCCATTAGAAACAACCACATTCTCAAACCTCGACCCCTCCGGGATAAGAGGAGAGCCTGTGATCGCGAGGGTTCAGCTCCGGATCCGTTCCAAGCTGGGTCCCCACAACCCGGCCTGGATACGTGAATCTTACCCTCGGTGTGCAGAGCTCCACAGCCGCACGAGCAGGGCGCCGGGGGCTGCAAGAGGCCAGAGCGCCGCGCGGAGCCGGCGCGCACGCTGAGCAGCCCGAAGGGCCGGAGGCACGGTCGGGGCGCGGGCTGTAGCAGCTGCCGAAGGGGCAAGGCCGGGACGGCAGCTCGGAGGCCCGTGGCAGCGGCGCCCAGGGCGCGGGGAACGCAGCGCAGCAGGGGAAGCATCGCGGAGTAGACACGTGCGGAGGGAAGGACGAATGGGCCAAGCAAGACACTGCAAGACCTTAAGCACCGCCGGAAGCCACGCCCCCGCCCGGGAAGCTCTTTTACGTCAGCGGGCGACAGGCACCAGGCCAGACTGCGCCCTCTGCTGAGAGCCGCCAGTGCAGCAGGGAGGTCCTGAATCCCCTAGTTCTGTTCTCCCTGGGCTGATGTGCTGGCTGTCTCTCCGACGCTGCCTACTCTTCCCAATTCACCCACTTTTCTCATGGAACGCACTCAGGTCTCACTCCAACTCGCGCCGGGCCATATACTCCAGGATCACCTCACTTAAAGGTTTTCTGGAACCGCCTAAACATCTGGAAAGATCAGCTGCTGCACCCAGCTGCTGTGGAGTGGGCATTCATTTTGGAAACCTCTGGGCTATCATTTTCCTGGAAGCAGAATTTAATGGCTTACATCATCACATTTATGTTAAGAATCAAAGTTACCAAGGCCTGGACATAAGGCTCGGTGGTTAGGATTATTTGTTGCTCTAGCAGAGACTAGAGTTCTATTCCCAGCACCCATAACTCACTACCATGTAACTCGAGTTCTAGGGCAAAAGACACTCTCTTTTGATTTCCATGAATACCAGGCATGGATGTGGTACACAGATATGTAGGCAAAGCACTCAAACACACAAAACAAATAACAAACAAATGCTCATGTCTTATGCTCCTTGCACCTGGAAGCAGGCAGCTCTCGGTAAGTTTAAGGCCAGCCCCATCTACACAGTGGGTCCCAGAACAGCCAGGGTTACATAGAAAGATCTTGTCTGAAAAAGCCAAAACCAAAAGTGAAAATAGAAACCAAGTCTTACCAAGTGAATGGCAATAAGACTAATGTTTAATATTCTAAACAGCATTCTATAAATAAGGGAAAGGAGGCCCAACAAGAGGCCACACAGACCATAAACAAAGATTCGTTTTTTTAATGAATTTGATAGTCAAAAGCACTACACAAGAACTCTTTTTATGTTGAGATCAGATAGAATACAGCACAAGTTCAAATCAACTTGATATTTTTGCTCTTTAGTTTTTTTTCTACACTACAACGTAAAATTCTTTCCCCACAGATACAGTCTAGTTTATGTGCTCAAAGAATGGCATCTTAGATGCATGGCCATAGTTACAAACAGATCCTGGTAGCTGGAGTACAAGGATTTGTGTCACAGTAAATGTTTTGCTGCTTTGGAATCTTGTTCGAGCTGGCAGAGGTGCAAACGTTTTCATGGGGACCTGGCAATGAAACCATTGCCTCGGGTATTGCAGGGTTGTTCACCTTCATGTGTTTGAAGCCGTACTGTCCAGATTGGATTCTTCAGGTCAGAGAGAGTTTACCAACTGGAAAAGTAGATCAGGTTGTACTGCAGTAAAATCATGAAACATTTCACTTTATGTTTTTGGTTTTTTTGAGATAGGGTTTCTCTGTATAGCCCTGGCTGTCCTGGAACTCCTCTGTAGGCCAGGCTGGCCTTGAGCTCACAGAGATCCCCTCCCAAGTACTGGAATTAAAGGCATGTTCGACCACTGCCATTAACATTTTACTTTCTTAAGAAAGCTAGGGCTGGAGAGATGGCCCAGCCGTTAAAGGTTAGGCTCAAAACTAAAAGTATAAGAAAGCTTAAAGGGCACTGTCCCTGAAGCTTAAGATAATCATTAACTTCTTTGTAGTAATATGTGGAGTCAGAATGGGGTTTCCATCTGATTTATTCCCTGAGCAACTCTGTTAAAAAACGATTGTTTTAAAAGCCCAATAAAAAACTAAATACTCTATTAAAATTCTACCACAATGTTAAAGTGATGAACATATTCTGTACAGAAACGTTAAAGCTACTCAGAAACTGTACCCTTCACTCCTTTTCTGGGAAGAGCCCAGTACTCGCTGCAGCCAGTCACTCCGTGATAAATTCCCAGTGCTTGTTTTGGGGTCAGTCAATATAAGCTAATTTTTCCTTGAGGCAGAAAACACCCATAGTTTACTGGGGAACAGAAAGTGTTCCTTGCTGGGGGATAGATTGTCTCCCCTTGTTTTCTTTAACCAGCGTAATGGATGATCTATTAAAAATACAAAGTTTCTCTTACCAAGCAAGGCTAAATAAATATCCTGGGCCCTTTGTGTATATAGGAAAAATACACTTTAAAAGAACAAACTTTCTAGACAGCTTTTTCAGAAACTTGGTAATGTAACTATTTTATCAAAGAAATAAGTCAAAAGTACCTAAACAACCCTAAAAACTGGCTACAAGCTTGATTGCTCATGGTTAGGGTTATAATAAAACCTAGACTTGACTCAGCATACAGAACTGTGGACCAATGACATGGGAGTGAAGTGCCCACTCACACTATGCTCTCTGGAGAGAAGAAACCACTTACTGTCTTTGAAATACCTTGTAGGCCGTGGTCCCTGCTTATAAACAACACAATTCAAAATCCTAGTAGTAGAGATGTGTCTGGACCAAGTACAATAAAAGGGCTAAGTTTGGCCTTTTCTAGGTTCAAATATTTTCTGGGAAAGTGTGCTTTCCCCTCCACCCCCTTTTCCTCCACTTAAGATACAAGGTCCAATAGAGGCTGGCCTAGAACCCTCAGTCCTCCCTTCTCAGCTGGGTTTTAGGCATGCACCACCACAGCAGAGACGGTTTGCTCCTAATCCAACTAAGGTGAATTTTTCCCAAATAGGAAAAGGATAGGAAAGGCTTCTCTATTTTCCTCTGACAAATGGGAGATAATTAAGGTTTGAGAGTGGCAACTGGCTAGGAAGTAGTAAAACTAATGGTCCCTGGGTTCCTGTAAAGAAGAAAAACAGACACTGAAAATCACCAAGGCCAAAAATTACAAAGACTGGGGGTGGCGAAAAGGATGAATGGCTACCCTGGCTTCTGAGCCATCAAGCGTCTGTCCCTTCCTTGCCACCCAGCAGCTTTGACTTGGGCCCCATCTGAACAGAGACTGCTGAAATGGTTGTGAAGTCTCCTTCAAGTGCACACATTCACAGGTGCCCAGTCAGAGAGAAAATGACCATGGGCTTCCAAGGCCACTGCACGGAAAAGCTGGCTTCCCAGTTTTAGGAGACCTGAAAGCATGTCTCCTGAAAGCATTGCGGGGACATGCAACCACAGAGGCACTGAAGACCAACCAAGGAAGGAATTCCTCTGCTGCTCTCTGCTTGTAGACACATAGGAAAATGTGCTACATATACCCTGTGCCATGAGGGTCAACAGGTCAGAATATACCTTACTCTGGCAATGTCTGTGGGAGTCAGTTTCTTCTGATTCTATTTAAAAGACATACAGGTAGACATTACAATAGTAGTGAAGGCTGGGCGTTGGCTCAGTGGCAGAGTGTGTGCATAGCATGCATGAGGCCCTGGGTTCCATGAGGAGAGAGGAGGCAGGGAGGAGAAACACTGAGGTCAGCCAATTGGATCTGTAGCCTCCTAGGGCTCCTCCCAGAAACATCCCCTTCCCCCCAGTCACAAGAGCTCAAGGGGATGTGTTGTACCTAATTAGTATCACAAAGCACAATGGCTTACAATTCACTGATTGTCTTATCTTGTGCCAGGCAAATCTCTGGGTATTTTCTATTCATTTTCTCTAAACTTCATTACTGTGAACTTGTACGTCTTATCCCCCTCTGGCAGATGAGGAAACCGAGGCTCAGAAGTTAATTCAGTCACTCAAAATTGCCCAGTCAAACCCAAAGCACAAGTCTCGTTTTTCATAGTCTAAGTATGAGCATGTCTGCAAGGCTGAGACTAGAGTCCCATCAACACTTTCAAGCTCTTGAACTCAGCGGGTCTGGCTGCACTGAAGTGTATGGTTTCTCCAGCTCCCAAGTCTACTTTGGAAAAGAGCTGTGATCTAAGCTCCAGGACCAGCCATGCTGGCAGCATCCTGGGGTGGATCAGTTTCTGGCAGTTCTCAGCTTCCTCCGGAAGTAGTCAGGGGCAGCCTCATAGAGCCACTCAGCATCCACAACACAGAGGTCACGCATGTAGCATTTGTTGGTGTAGAGCAGTGCAGTGTATACCACACAGGCAGGCTTGCAGTGGAAGAGGACAGAGGAAGGGTGGATGGCCACAGGCTGGTGTGTGTCTGTGGTGGCATAGGTGCCATCTGGCTGGAGTTCGGCAGTACTCATAAAGAGGCTATGAGCCAGGCAGCGGCGGACACTCTCCATGTCCCCTCGAGATGACATGATTGGCATTGACATCTGTTTTAGGAGACAAAAAAAGACTTCAAACATTAATCCTCCCAAGGACTACACAGTACAAGGGAACAACAAGATTTAAGGGCAGCCAACACAAAGCGAAATCATGAAGGTGGCACTTCAATTACCATAGGCAGCAGCTGAGGTGGAGGATAAGGGTATAGGTGAGAAACCTCCAGTGTGGAGAGAAGCATCTGAAGGGGCTGGAGAGATGGCTTAACACTTAAGAGCACTGGCTGCTCTTTCAGAGGACCTGGGTTCAAGTCAAAGCACCCACGTGACAGCTCACAACTGTCTGTAACTTCAGCTGTGTGTGGGGGGATGGGACAGGGGAATAGGATGGGATGGGCAATAGCTTGGGACTAGCGAGAAGGCTAGTTAAGGGCACTTATTGATCCTGCAGGGGGGCCTGGATTCAATTGCCAGCACCCACATGGTGGTTCACAACCATCTATAATTATAGTTCCAGGAGAGCTGATGATCTCTTCTGACCTCTGTGGGCATCACACATGCACGTGGTGCAATTATACATACAAGCAAAACCCACATTGAATAATCTAAAAATAACAAATAAATCTAAAAACAAACAAACAAAACTCAAAAGCACAGTTCAGCTGCCTAAAGTGTACCTGGTGATACAACACTTGCCACAAGGCTCTGGGCTCCCAGGCCTTCAGTGAAAGAAGCAGTTCTGCAGTCTTTGTGTGCATGGAGGCTGAAGTCAGCCCAGTCCCACAGAGAGACTGTTGAGGAGGACAGGGCTGAGGACAACTGTGGAGTTTGACAGTTCTAAATCTGAGGCTGCTGGGTGGATCAACCTGTGGAGCCACACACCTGCCATGAGGTTCACTGATAGAGAGCCTGAAGCTCCAACAGGCTGCATCACTCCCAAGTTGCATCCCTCCAACAAGCAGTTGAAGACTTGGTGGGATTGGAGAGCATAGAGACTAAGGCTCCTGAAGACCTCGGTGCTGAGGTTGACTCCCTCCCCCTCCCCTACACTTAGCACACTGTAAACAAACTCCATAGCAAGAACTGCAGCCATCCTGGGTATATGAACTAGGGAGTACCCGGGGGTGGGGTGGGGTGGGGTTGGGGAGTGGGGACCTGTGTGGCCCTGACATTGCAAAGCTGAGTGCAGGGAGCAGACATGTCCAGAACATGAAGGGAAGCTACTAAAGTGAAGACAGCTTCAGCAGACATAGGATGCTTGTCCAACACAGGCTCAGCACAAGCTCAAACCACAGGAAAGATGGGGACAGAGGTTCCATTCTCCTTACCTAACATACATAGCAAAGTTATTACATACATAAGCAAGACCCTAGTTAAAAAAAAAAAAAAAAAACTCCATCTTTTTGCCTCCCTGCTGTTTTTCAATTTTTCTTCTTACTTTTCAGTAGTAGTTTTTTAATCAGAAAATAGTTATATAAAGTTTATATAATTTTATACATGAGGTTTAGGGTTCCATGCCCAGCATTCCTCAAAAAAGGGAAAGTAGGTCATAGATACAATGTAATTATATGAAAAATAAGCTAAATGGCTCAGTGTTAGAGAATTGCCCAGTGGGTTCAATCACCAGTACTAGGGCGGAGTGGGGGTGGGTAGAGGAAGAAAAAACAAAGCAAAGTCACCATGGACTTCTAGGACTAAACCATGAGAGAGAGACACAAGGGGGGGGGGGGAAGATAGAGGAATTATGGGCAGCTTTTACTTTCTTGTGCATTTTAAGTTTTTCTACAATGACATTTTCTTTCATACCATTGGCTGCAAGCATTCCAAGACCCCCGTAATAAAATAAAAACGCCTCGAAAGGAAAGTACTACCTTTAAGCAGATCTCCCTCAGCTGTGCTCTGACTTCAGCTACTAGCAGCATATTCTTGCTATTGACAAAATTCTCTTTGCACCAGTCCTGAAGAGGAGAAAAGGAGAGATCTCAATCCTCTCCTTTCCATGCAGAGGAAACATGCACATAACAAAATCTGGATGGCATTGCTGAATTCAGAGGGTTGTTTCAGTGTCAAAATATAGGAAACTACCTTTATACCAAAAAGTATGGACTAGGAAAAATAGGAATTGTTTAAACTACAATAAAACTTAAAGATTCCCTTCTAGAGTTCTTTCTGAGAAAAGTTCCAGGCTGGTAATGCATGCATCACCACACCCACAAAGGATGAGTACCTCTAGAATATTAAGAACCAGTGACAAAAGATCACAAAACTGGAGAAAAGTAGACAAATGACATAGAAATGCCGAATTACATACATGTGTGTAAGGATGCTTGTCTCCTGAAGGATGGAGGCAATGAGGTTTAGAACAATGGGAAAACAGACGACACAAGTGATATCAACAGACAGCTGGAGGGACAGTGAACATGGGAATTCTTCCACATTCCAGAAGGGGCTGCCAGCGTGGCAAGTGCCTGCTGGCTGGAGAAACTGAGCTACAGAGCCTAGCCCAACAGTCTACTTGCTCACTTGTTGGCCCCACAGAATTCTCCCTCATAGGGGCACAGGGAGTCCTGAGCAGACAGCACTGTGGTGACAGGAAGAAATGAGATGAAAGGACAGAATGTGAATGGATGTGGAGCAAATGCTCCCTTCCTGGCACATTCTATCAGGCCCTGTTGGAAAGCATGTCCTTAGTGCTGGGCATGGTGGCTCATACCTAAGGTCCAGCACTTGGAAGGCTGCAGATCACAAGTGTGAGGTCAGCCTGGGTTATGTACATAAGCAAGACCCTGCTTTAGAGACATCAAATGGATGGCATCCTCTTGGTGGAACATACACCAAGGGCAGGGCAGTCGTCAGTAAGGAAGGACTGAGCATTTCTACTGTATCAGCTCTTCTTTTGTTTGTTTAAATATAAAGTGAGGGCCAGTGAGACAGCTTAGCTGGTAAAGATGCTCACTGCCAAATTTGAATTCCTGAATTTTAAACCCCATGTACCCATTCCATAGAAGGACAGAACCAACTCCTAGGTTGTCCTCTGATCTCCCCAGGTATATGTGGCACATCTGTTGTGTGTGCATAAACCCATGAATACTTGAACATATACATACAAAGCATGAACATAAATAACAAACTAAGGTAAATATAGCAAAGTTAACAAATGCTAAAATTGTAGGGTAGCATTTTTTTTTTTTAAAGAATGCACACTAAGGCACAATTACATTTATTAACACATGAAAATATACTGCCATTTTCCATCTTAGTATATAAGGAACTGAAATATGATTAAAAAGAAAAAAAATAGTTTAACAGTTGAGCAGGTAGGCAAGAAAACCATCTTGCATGGTTTAAATATTCTCCAAAGCTTCATTGAATCCCTATTGTGAAACATTAAAGGAAACTTAATTCAATTATGGTAATTGTGGGCCAGTAAGGTGGCTCTGTGAGTAAGGTGTTTGTCATCAAGCCTTACGACCCAAGTTCAAACCCTGGGATCTATAACGGTGGAAGGAGAGAACCAAAAGTTGTCTTCTGATCTCCATACATATGCTCCCTCCTCCCACAAATGAACAAACAAACAAACAACAAATAAATAAATAAAGTGAAATTCAAAATAAACTAGTTGTCATGGCACATATATCTTTTATCCTAACACTTTAGGCAGGTCTCTGAGCTTGAGGTCAGTCTGATCTACATAGTGATATCAGGATAGCCACAGATACAAAGTAAGACCTTGTCTCAAAAAACAAATAAACAAACAAACAAAAAGCCAGGTAGTGGTGGTGCACACCTTTAATCCCATCATGAGGAAGACAGAGGCAGGTAGATCTCTTTGACTTTGAGGCCAGCCTAGTCTATAGAGCAAGTTCCAGGACAGCCAGGGCCACACAGAAAAACCCTGTTTTGTTTTTTACTCAGGAAGCAGAGGCAGGTGGATCTCTGTGAGTTCAAGGCCAGCCTGGTCTACAGAGCTAGTTCCAGGACAGGCTCCAAAGCCACAGAGAGAGAGAGAGAGAGAGAGAGAGAGAGAGAGAGAGAGAGAGAGAGAGAGAGAGAGAGAGAGAGAGAAAAAAAAAGAAAAACCCTGTTTTGGAAAACCAAAACCCAAACCAAACCACCCTTCAAATAAATAGCTGGTCATAATAGTAGCACATCCCTTTAATCTTAGCACTTGTCAGGAAGAAGCAGACAGATCTCTATGAGTTTGAGGTCAGCCTACATATAGAATTCCAGGCCTTGGAGTTACGTAATGAGAACCTGTTTTGAAAAAAACAATTTTAAAAACTTAGGGGCCAGAGTGACAAATCAATGGTTAACATAACCTGCTTTTTCAGAAGACCAGGCCCAATTTCCAGCACTCACATGGTGGCTTACAACTATCCCTGGGAATCTGTTAGCCTCTGGCCTCCACAAGAACAGCAAGCATATGGTGCCTAGATATACAAGAAGGCAATCAGATAAAGCCTCCAAGTCTTACCAGTCTAGAGCATGAGCCAAAATAAAATCTCTTTTCTTTATAAAATTGCCTGTCTCAAGTATTTCTTTACAGTAATGAAAAATGGGCTAGAGCTAGGCGTAGTTGTGCATGGCTTTAGTCCTAGCACTTAGCAGGCAGAGGCAGGTGGGTCTCTCTGTGTGTTCAAGGCCAATATGGTCTACATCCAGAACAGCCAGGGACAGAGAGAGACCTTGTCTCAAAACAAAAACCAAAAAAAAAAAAAAAAAGATAATAAGGATAATTGTAGTGGCTGAGGTAGAGCCTATTACTTATCTAACAGAGTCTGTGTTAACACAAGCAGAACAAACACCTGAACTAATGTTTCTTTTTAGTGATTCCTGGCACATACACATTTCTGAGATGACAGCTGGCTTGTGTGTGTGTGAGACTCTTTAAGATGATTCTGTCAAAAAAAAAAAAAGAAGGTATATTTAAAAACACATGCCTGAACGCCTGGGCGAGGCTCACCTTATTTCCACCTATGTTTTTGAAGGTCCGATAGATATTGAGCAGGGTGATGTGATCTCCCTCACTGGATATGAATTTCTTGCGGACACTCTGCACTTCATCTCTCCGGGCAGGAGGGTTGTAAAGGACACTGTCCACAGACAGTAGGGAGACTATGGTCAGAATCTCTTCTGTACAGTGGAATTTGGAAGACAGGAGGATAGTCTAGAAAGTCAAATTGAAAACACATGAGTCAAGTTTCCTGGCTTCTGATTAGTGTTCCTGTACATTCTCTTGCAGTTTCCCTTTAAGGAGTGCCAATGCCATTCACTTCTTTGTAAAACAGGAAGATGCCATCGCCACAGGATCCCACATCCTTGTGGGCAGGGCTGTGACCATGTCAGAAACCCACACACAACATAAATCAGCAATGTACACAGAGTGGGATGATTATGTCATATTTAAAAGGGAAAAAATGAGGTTAGTTTAGAAGCACTGGGCTTAGGCATTACCTAACCCGTATTGTAGAGAAAGAGGAATGAGGAAGAAGGGTCATTTACTTTGGCAAATTTGGGCTCTAACGGAAATGCTGCCATCTTTCTTCCAATTGGAGTCAGGGTAAGCTGGTCATCCTTATGGTCAAGAGCACCTAACAGGTCCAGCTGGGCAATGGCCGCCTGAACGTGATCTACAGAAACAGAGACATAAAAAGGAGCCAGAAGTCCAAAACAGGAAGATGATTTAGCTAGTTGAATGCTTCTGGGTGCTTATAACTCTACAAACACCACCAAGACCACCCGCTATTGTGCTCACATTTTCTAAGTCTTAATGGTACCACTAAAGAGCAAGATATATAAAGTAATCATGGGAGAACAGTTACCCAGAGGAATGGGAAGGAGGCAATTGGCTGGGTAGGGGTCCAGGGGCTTGGTTTACAGTGTGAGTAGCATCAGACAGATGCTGGCCATATTACCATAATTTATTGTTCCTTTCTAGGAATTTCAAAATGAAAAAAAATATATCAGAGTGTACCATATGTGCTATTTAAAGACTTAACAGATTCCTACATGGACAGATTTTTATGTAGAAGACAGCTAGAAAATGTTTCTTTGAGAGAAGAACTGAACTGAGGACACCAGGGTGGGACCTGGGACTCTCATTCATTCATTCATTCATTCATTTATGTTTTGTTTTTTCGAGACAGGATTTCTCTTTGTAGCTTTGGAGATGTTGTGGAACTTGATCTGCCAACCATGCTGGCCTTGAACTCAAGAGATCCACCTGCCTCTGTCTCCTGAGTGCTGGGATCAAAAGTGTGCGCCACCACCTGGCTTATTTTCTCCTTTAACAATTGCATTTCCCTAAAGAAAAGGAAGATGGCAAGGTGACAGAGTCCAAGAACCAAAGGCACTATTTAAGTGTCAGTTGTTTTTTGTTTTTTTTTTTTTTTTGTTTTTTTTTTTTTTTTTTTTGGTGTTTTGAGACAAGGTTTCTCTGTAGCTTTGGAGGCTGTCCTGGAACTCGTTTCAGTAGACCAGGCTGGACTCAACTCAAGAGATCCTCCTGCCTCTGCCTCCCGAGTGATGGGATTAAAGGCGTGCACCACCACGGCCCAGCCCTAGTGTCAGTTCGTAAAGGTTCTTCCTCCAGGTGAGATTACTAATGAAGCGAGAGGCTAGTCAAGCCCCAGTTTAACACAGAGGAACATGCCCTCTTTACCCTTACATTGGGCTTCAGGAGTGTCCCATGGGTGCCTGATGACCTCCCTGGACCATGTACAAGGGTGCTATAACATGGAACCCACCACTTTATAACAAATGAAATCAAATCAACAAAAGAACATGACCAAAATATTTTTTTCTTCCTCAAAATACTTTTCCTGGGGAAAGAACTCCTCTGCTACTGTCTGGGGGAAAAGAGCTCCTCTGCTCCTGTCTGTCTGTCTGTCTGTCTGTCTTCTAGCTTACCTGGAGATGGTTTGGACATGAAGTCAAAGGTAAGCACATTTGGGACTTTCATTGCTAGCAGTTGCAGAATCACACTTGCTAGGTTACACCTGTGAGGAGAGAAATGAGGGTCATTTGTCTGTCCCTGACCCAACTGAGTCAAAACTGCTCCCCAGAGGTCGTTAGTGAAAGGTGCAGCCTATGGGCAGAAGCAGGTGGGAAGGGGGCCAGTATGGCGCAGTGCAGGCATAATCCTACCTCTGGATTTCTGGCACTGTCATCTTCTCAAACTTCTCAAATTCATCCTCGGTGTAGAGCCGGTAACAGATGCCACTGTCCTCTCGGCCAGCCCTCCCTGTTCGCTGCCAGGCCTGGGTCTTTGATACTCGCTGTACAGCTAGTACCTCAAGACCACTGTCTGCAGGGAGAAAGGGCCATGAGTGCTTTGCTTCATACAAAAGCAATCTATCTCTAGAGTGCTGGCAAAAAGAAATGATGCTGAGTACCACTGAGTGTTTCTGCAACTCAAGGAAACTCAAGGCTAAACAAAAAAGCACAAACCTTGGCTGCTCAGCCACTTTAAACCTCACAGTGAAACTTAACCTAGCAATGAATCATGTGTGAAATGTTACAAAAAACACCACAACACCCTCTGCAAGCTAGGGGGCAGGAAACTGGCTTCATGAGTTTGGGCTTATTTCATGGAGAACCAACTATCCCAGCTGCTTGGCACTGAGAGATTCTTGGGGATTTTGGTGCCAAGACAGTTTCTACCTAATTGGGCAGGGTGATCATATATCAACCAATGATGACAGAGTCCTATGTCCTCCTTCCCAGTTCTATAAGAAAACAGATCATATGATTTTTTTTCCCACCTTGGAAGTAAAAGCCATCAGTTCTATCAAATACAGGAATACTTTGTGCCAGGCACTAGAGACCCACACTTTGTCTTCAGGAAATATGTGTGAAAAATGATCCCTCCATGCCAATTAAATATTGGGGAGCAATATTAATGTAGTGGGCCCAAATCCTCTGTAGAATCAAGCAAGGTATGAATCAGAAATGTATAAAACTGACTTAAAGGCAGCTTGACAATTTTAAGAGAGAGCCAGTGTTTCCTTCTATGCTCGCTGGGAACCCTGTCCAGCCAGTGGCATCTGTCTCTTTTTGGAAACCCTATCCAGTCAGGACAACTGTCTCCTCGCTGGGAACCCTGTCTAGCTAGGGGCATCTGTCTCCTTGCTGGGAACCCTGTCCAGCCAGGGGCATCTGTCTCATTGCTGGGAACCCTGTCCAGCCAGGGGCATCAGTCTCCTTGCTGGGGACCCTGTCCAGTCAGGACAACTGTCTCCTTACTGGGAACCCTATCGAGGTAGTGGCACTTGTCTCCTTGCTGGGAAGCCTGTCCAGCCAGGGCCACCCGTCCTTGCTGGGAAACCCGAAAGCCCAGATATCCACACTCTGGCAGCCCTTGGGAGAACCTGCCACTCGTATCAGGCTGTCCTTGGCCTTCTTGCCACCATTCTCACCCAGCTTCCAGTGGGCTTCCACACCTCAGTGCAGGCCCTCATCTGTCCTCAGGTTTTCTGCAACCGAGTTTTTCCCTCTCTTGACTTCCTGCCTCAGGTCTCTTTTATGGGCATGACTTGAACTGTCCCTGTCACTCATATCTCAGCCCCTCACAAACATGAACTGTTTACTTGGGAGGAAATGGTGGGGTTACAGTTTTAACCATTGCTCGCTATACACAGGAGACATTCATGAGCTAGATTCTCACCAGGGTTATACTTCTTTGCTTTAACCATGCCCGTGTCAACTACAAATTTTATTCCTGTAATGGTTATGGAGGTTTCAGCGATGTTGGTTGAAATGATCACTTTGCGATAGCCCTAAAAGGAGGAAGAAAACCAAAAAGCTATATGACACACAAATGACTCAGAAGTTGAAAACATTCTAACCATGCATTTCCACAACTTGCTTATGTTCAAGAAAGGATGACTTCATTATTAATAATAGTCATACCAATTCCAGTCATTATATTTGATAAGGGACAAAAGAGGAAAAGAGGATATTGCTCCTTTCACTGAGATCCTGAAGATTAATTTGAGGCGATGAGATGTAGTGGAACAAGATTTGAGGAGCAGGTAGATGGGAGTTGGAATTCTGGCCCTGCCAGGACCTTGCTGTGTGTGCCTAAAGCAATTCCCACCTCCCTTTTCAGGGGCCTTAGCCTTTCTCATGGGATCCTGTGATGAGAGATGATCTACATGAGTGTCAGCACAGCGTCTGGCACACAACAAATGGTACATGGCAATGTGGTGTATAACAGCCCTTAGAGGAGCCACTCATTCACCTTTCAGTCTCTGCACCTTTGTGCTCTCTCATCTCTCCTCACCGGAAGCTCTCCCTGCAGCTGTGCACTCTACACCTGTTCCTCTCAAGTAGCTGACCTGGTACCTGAGTATCCCTCCTTCCAAATTCTCTGGATCATCGTGACAGGCACACAGGGCCTATTGACAGACAGGATTTGATGCCCAGAGATGTGGCTGGCAGAAGGGTGGCACACTCACCTTTGGGGCCCCTTGAAAGACTCGAAGCTGCTGAGAGTACGGCAGGGAGGCATACAGAGGAAGGACGAGCATTGCAGGGCAGCCATCAGGGAGGTGCTTTGCAATGTCTCGGCAGGTCTTGCTCATTGCCTCGATCTCCTCCTGACCAGTAAGGAACACCAGGATGTCTTGAGAAGAAGGGGCTTCCTAGGGAAGAGAGAATATTGATGATGGTGATGTTTCCAAGAGGGTTTTAATTTTCTTTTTTTTTTTTTTTAAAGATTTATTTATTTACTGTGTATAAAGTGTTCTGTCTGCATGTATGCCTGCATGTCAGAAGAAGGCACCAGATCTCATTACAGATGGTTGTGAGCCATCATGTGGTTGCTGGGAATTGAACTCAGGACCTCTGGAAGAGCAGCCAGTGCTCTTAATCTCTGAGCCATCTCTCTAGCCGGAGGGTTTTAATTTTCTGTTTTACTTTTTAATTATGAAGATGAAACAAGTCTGGCAGTGGTACCACCCTGTGAGGAGATCCTGACTAGCAATGCACAGAGCTGTTAACATAAGAGCCAGCCAACTATGTTCAGAAACCAGGTAAGAAAGTTTGGAAAGGAAATTAACATACTGCTTTTGTAAGACAACACAATCAAAGCCTAATCAGAGGTAAGGAAAATCTGTATAAAACTTCTTTAGGTTAGGTGACTCAGTGGGAAAAGACACTTGTTGCCAAGGCTGCCAGCCTGAATTGAATTCCCAGGACCCACAGGGTGAAGGGAAGTGAGACTTCTTTTGGTTGTTCTCTGATCTCCTCGCAGGCACCATGACTTGAGTACACCCTCTCACACACACCAATAAATATGTAAGTGCAAAAATAATTTTTTAAGAGCTACCTTTTCTTTATCTTCTAAGTATAGTGTGTGCACATTGCCTGTGTTCACATATGTCTTCCTTTGTCTGTCTGTCTGCCTGACTGAACTGAAAGCTTGCTGTGAGCCGGCTTAGGGGTAAAGGCATTTGCTGTGCAAGTCTTGTCATTTGAATTTGAGCTCAGGAACCCACGTAAAAGTGGGAATAGAGAACCAACTCCACAAAGTCATCCTTTGGGCTCTGTATGTGTGCTCAGTACCTCCCCCAACACAAATCAAGCATACAAACACACATGCCCCCCCAATACAATTTTAAAATAAAAATCTAAAAGAAAAATTTCTCTTGTGAATTTTGGCAGTTAAAAGAGGCAGACTGGCTTTCTTCTCTTTCAAACATTACCGAATTGACAGTAAAAACCACTGTTTTCATCTCCCCAGAAGGAAAAACATCACTGCCCCCAAATGACAAGACAGTGGGAGATAAGAGGGGAAAAGGCTGGTTAGGGGATGCCTACTAAGAAGAATAGTGACAAGAAATGTGGATGGAGGGAGGGTATGGCTCAGTGGTAAGTACTGGTCTAGCATGGACAAAGTATATGAGAACTTTGAGAGGACATCTAGCAAAGCACCCATCTATCTCCCTCCCTTCCTTCCTCCCTGATGTTCCTGGGATTCCAGATGCACATTGCTTCAGGTGGCTTTTTATGTGACCACTGGGATCTCAACTCATGTCTTTTACAATTCTTTGGCAACCACTTTACCCAGTCCTTAATCACTCACGTGTAAATGCTTAACAAAATAAAAAGATATTTTGCAGTATCTCTCTAAAACTTTTGAAATACCTTGGGACATGTGTGGTGGTACATATTCATAATTCCAGCAGTCAGAAAACGTTGGCAGGAAGACAGCAAGTTGGAAGTCAGTCCAGGTACATGGCAAGACTAGACATACTTGTATAGCATACTGGGTTCCAACATAATATATGCTTCCCCCCCCCACGGGTTCCAATATAAAGAAAGGAACGCAAGCCACTCCTCTAACATATGAGAGTTTTCTAGCTCAGAGGAGGACAACTGCTGATAGTTGGATTATTTTTATTTCTAGAGAAACTAAGAAATATTACAAAAAGAGGCAAAACAGATGTAGCAAATGAACCTCTTTTTAAAAAGATGATCATTTTATTTATCTCTGTGTGTGGCACATGTGTGGAGGTCAAAGGAAAACTTTATAGAGTCAGTTTTCTCTTTTGACCATGTGGACAGGGATTCAACTCAGGTCGACAGTCTTGGCACCAAGCTCCTTTACCTGCAAAGCATCTCAATGGGCACAAACGAGCCTAGTCCTGATTACAGTTCACAAGCTCTCAGAGGCTAACTGTCCTCAGAGTTAACTGTAAGGTGAATAGAATTTTCCAGGACTTTTGACCCCTTTGCATACCTGGTGGATCTGGAAGACTGAGACAAGAGCTGCATGCAGGTAATCCTGCTGAGGCTGCTTGGTATAGAAAATCTGAATTGGATGCTGCCGACCTTCAAGGTAGAGGACAGGGGCACCATTGAAATACTGAGAAAACAGGTCAACATCCATGGTAGCTGACATCACAATCACCTATAGAAAACAATGAGAATGGGAAATAAATGTGGGACAGCACTTCTATAAAGCAGATGGCTGAGGCCTGTGTCACTCCCACCATGGTTAACTTTTTCCCACATGCCTGAAGCAGACTGGGCAGGACAAACACCCCCAAAATAAAGGCCTAGCCCTTCAACACGTTCCACGTACTTTGAGAGGCAGTTTCCCTAGCTCCTTCCGCCTCTTCTGTGCTGCCTTCACCACCCCAAAGAGCACATCTGTGTGGATAGTCCGCTCGTGGGCCTCGTCCAAAATGACACAGCTATACTTTCGAAGCAAGGAGTCTGAAATTGCTTCTCGAAGAAGCATGCCATCTGTAAGGAACTTGATCCTGGTGTCTTCTGAAGTGACATCCTCAAAGCGTACAGTATAGCCAACCTGAGAGAAAATATGACTCCTTTATTTATTAAACAATTATTGAACACCACTGACTATATATCCAGCACTGTCCTCAGCACTGTGGTATCACAGTAAACAAGGCCACTTGGTCTATAGGTCTATATTCTAAGTTCTGTGCTAGCCAGGGCTAAAAGGAGGCACTGTTTCAAAAAACTCAAACCAAATCAACAAATAAAAAATTGTGTGTCTCAAAGTCTTAAACTTGTAAACTAGGTGTAAAGGGTCCAGCTCAATGGCAGGGAACTTGCCTAGGATATTCAATCTTCAGCTCTTCTAAATGAGAAAACATCTGATTTATTCAACTTGCCAATAGTTGTAAAGTCAAAGTGAACAGAACTAAGAGCCACTGATCTCTCTGGAATTGGAAAGACACTATAAAAGCAGTGGGAAGGAAGAAGCATACTATTCAACTGGGTGCTGTGGCACACCCCTATAATCCCAGCATCTAGGAGGCCAAGGCAGGATGAAGATTCCAGTACCAGGCCAGTTTGAGCTCCATAAGGAGACCTTAAATCACCATAACTGTGGGCATGGGGGATGAAGTGTTGAGGAAGGACTCATTCAGAAAAACTCAGGGCAGAAGCACAGTGGGTGCTCATTAGTAGATAAAGCAATGAGGTACCAGCTTCCCGAGTTCAGTCCTCTTCTCGTCTGAGACTCTAGTAGCAAGAGAGATGGCAGCTACTCGACGGGGCTGGGTCACAGCAATGATGCCTTGGCGGCTAATTCCCCCTTCATAGAGGTACTGTGGGATCTGAGTTGTCTTCCCAGAGCCTGTTTCCCCTAGGAGAGAAAAGAAACTCTTATTCAAATAAGACTAAGGTAAACACACCAAATAAAAAGCTTTAAGTCAGGAAAAAAAAAAAAAAAACACACAAAAGAAAACAATGAGTTACCCAAAACAATACAGAGAAACCCTGTCTCAAAAAACAAGAACAAACAAACAAACAAAAATAATGAGTTGGTAAGCTTCAGGCAAATGGGCGCACCCAGGTACACTGCTGGAGAACAGGCACTGCTATTGTTTTCCAGGAGGAGGAAAACCTTTACAATGGTCCGGGCATGGTGATTGACACATGCCTTAATTATAGCAGGTAGAGGCAGGAGTATCTTTTTGAATTCTAGACCAGCCTTGTCTATATAGTCAATTCTAGGACAGCTATTGTACATAATAGAGACTGTCAAACAAAAAAAAAACCCAACCAACCAAATAAATAAATAAATAAATAAATAAATAATGAAAACACCCTAAACTTTTAGGATCTTTATATGGTTTGGCTCACAATTCCACTTGTAGAAATTGAGTCTAAGAAAACAAAGCTGTAGAGGCAGGAGGATCTCAGTGAGTTGAGGCCAGCCTGGTCTACAAAATGAGTTCCAGGATAGCCAGGACTGTTTCACAGAAAAACCTTGTCTCAAACAAACAAACAAACAAACAAATGGAAAAGAAAACAAAGATTTAATTTCAATTTGCCCCATGATAGCAAAAATACCAGAAATATGTATAATAGTAAGTGTGGTGGTTTCAATAGGTATGGCCTCCACAGACTCATGTGTTTGAATGCCGATAGAGGGTGGCACTATTAGGAGGCCTTGTTGGAGGAAGTACCTCTCTGTAGAGGCAGGCTTTGAGGTCTCACATATAAGCTCAAGTCACAGCTAGTGTAGCACACAGACTTCTGCTGCCCATGAATCAAGATGTGGAACTCTCAGCTCCTTCTCCAGTACCACGTCTGCCTGCACACCACCATGTCCTGCCATGACAATCATGGACTAAACCTCTGAACTTTAAGTTGGCCTCCATTAAATGGTTTCCTTTTTATGAGTTGCTATGGTGATGGTATCTCTTCACAGCAATAGAAACCCTAACAAGACAATAGGTAACTGGTATAGTTACAACGTAAAAGAAATATGTCAGCCATGTACATTGTTTATATACTGATATGAAGAGAGGTCTATTCATAAATTGCTTGCCTTTCTCTGGCTGCTGCTTGCTGCTCTCTTCAAACCTTTGCCTATACTATTATGGGTACAATACCTGCCTGCCTTTGTGCTAATTGGCAAGTTACAGAATGAGTCAGGCAGCAAATTCTTTGCTTCAAGGCTGTACTTGTGGCCCTCATTGCTGGAATCCTTAGTGCCTATTAATCTCTTTTTTAGCACAGTTCATTCCAAACAGCACAGAAAGTTTCTGCCCTCTTCTAATACCAGAGGGCAGAGTTCTCTTCATCAGCTTGAGCACCCTGCATAGAGTCAAGCACCCAATGAAGACGGATTTCTACCCTCTGTTGGTGCCTCTAACAGTGCCTGATTAGAACTCAGGAAACCTGCACAGCCTTCTTTGCTACCCCTTATCCTCTTTAATGGAAATCCTCCATTCTCTTGTGTATTGCATTTTCTCCCAGCTCCCAAATGCCTCTGACTGCTCACCTTTCCTGACTTAGCCAAGAATCTCAGACTAAGAATTTGATTATCTTGCAATTTCCTGCTGAATCCTCCACATGACCTCGGACTTGGATCAATGTCTCTTGTGCATCCTTCCCATTTCTATTCCAAGGCAACTGACTCTTTCAAAATTAAATATGCCAACCATGCAGGTGTAGTGTCAACATGCACCTGGGCACCAGCTCTACCGTCCATCTTGTTTGTTTTTGCAGCCTGTTTTTTGTCTCCATCTCTGGGGGGGGGGGGGGTTACTTGAGGCCCTGGGACTTTGTTCTCATCAGAACTCCTGCATCTTTCTCAGATAAAGTCCTCACATGTGCTTCCCCTCTACTCCCTGCCACATGTGCTTGCAGCACTTTTGCGTCCTCTGAGCTGGCCCGTGTCCTGTGCCGGGTGGTCCCTCCATAGCCCTTGCCGCCAGGGCCCTACTTCCTTACACATGCTGACCTCTGCTCCGTTAGCTCTATGCTATCTTTAGTGCCTCTCTGCCCAGTTCACTAAAATCTGTAAGTACCTGTAAGCTCCTCGTTAGGTTACAGAGCATAGCTCTGCTTATTGGCCTTGTGGTCACGAAGTCCCTCATAATCTATAGGTTGTATGACAATTCTCAGGGGGTTTCTGACCCCTCACTGGGCAGTGTCACTGGTACTCACAATAATAGTCATTGTATTTTTCTAAGCATTGCTGCTAGAGCAGATTAACGATTTAACCACCACCCTTAGAAAGAATTCAGACATATAGATTGTTAGTAAGTAGGTTAAGACATTTTTGTCAGTGGCTTTGAGGTAGGAAATCTTGGGCAACAACTTAAAGTTTAGAAAGGCACATGTTTTTAAAATAGTTGATCGAGGGAACTGCTGAGGTCAGGGAACAAGAACAACGATAGCAGTCTAGCTATTGCTGCCTGATGAACCTTTCTTGCTAGGACGGGTTTGGCGATCAAAAGTGATGATTAAGTCCTTGGACCCATTTCTGCCCTCAGCTTCCTGATATGAATTAGCAAAAAACTGTTGATGAGTGGGTATGTACTCCAAGGTTTTAAAGTAGAGCTCACTGTTTTACATTTTTAAAAGTTTAGATTTGTGATTCTTAAGATAAGATTACCTGCCTGTCGGTGGTGGCTCATGCCTTTAGTTCCAGTGCTCAGGAGGTGGAGGCAGGTGGATCTCTGTGAGTTCCAGACCAGCCTGGTCTATAAGAGGGAGTTCCAGGACAGCCTCCAAAGCCACAGAGAAACCCTGTCTCAAAAAACAAACAAACAAACAAACAAACAAAAAGATAAAAAATTACCTTTTGAGATAAATAATAAAATGATCCTTTCTTTGTAACCACAAAATGCAGCCTGACAGTAAAGGATCTGGCTGAGAAAGCTGCTTATTTATACTTTGTTAATCTATAACAAGTTGCTTAAACATGAATGTATGTGGTCTTTGAGAATATTTGTTTTTCACCTGTAATATGTATAATGTTTAACCATGTAAGGGAAATGAGGAACATGATGTCTTTTTTAAACTTGTATTCATTATAATCATTCATTTGAAAAATAGAAAATAGGAGCTGGAGAGAAGGCTGGCTGGGAGTGCTGGCTGCTCTTCCAGAGGACCCAGGTTCAAGTCCCAGCACCCACATGGCAGCTCACAACTGTTTATAACTCCTGTTCCAGGGGATCTGACACCCTCACACTGATATACATGCAGATAGAAATACAAATAAAAATCGTATATTTACAAAAAAAGAAAAATGGAATGTAATCACATTGTAATTTTTTATGTTGCTTGAAAGATTCTGCTGGGATATATAAACTGTAAAGGAAAAAAAAATAAAGAAAGAAGATAGAGAGATCCTGAAGGAGTGTATGTATCCCCTTTTTACCGGCCCCACAGAACTAAGTTTTGTCTAGCTCCCTGGCCCCAGAGAATTAAACTTTACTCCCTCTGATAAAAACAAAAGTCAGTGAGCGATCAGTTCGCCACCTCCCGCCTCCTCTTCAGCTCCTGGGTTTCTGAAAAAGCTGGTCTTTACAGCAGCCGGACTTCACTGTTCATCTACTGACTCCCTCCTTAGAACTCTAGTCCACCGACTGCCAGCACTCGCTGGTCTTTTTCCTCGCTTCCGACATTCCTTCGGGAGCTCCTCTTTCTTAAACATTGTGCATCAAAGCCCCTTGAAATCACTCCCTGGCCCCGAACTCTCCCGAGCTCTTCTCGTACACAAGAAACTGGTTCCCGTTAACTGAACTGTTTCTGACCGCCAGTCTCTCCATCGTTGCCTAGGATGCCAGTCCCCAGGGACCCGCTTTGCACCCACCTCCTCAAAGCTTGGGGGAGGCCCGTCGTTCAAAACTCTCAGAGCCTCTGATATGCACCCGCAGCCCGTCACGGAAAGGAACTCTTTACCCCCACACACGCCAGTCAGCGCCAACAGGATAACTGTCCACCTTTTTCCCGAGGTCCCCGTCCAGGCCGGACACAGAAAACCTCTCAAGTTTGTTGAAGAAACCAACGCCGAGGGAGTGAGAAGCACTTAGGAAAAATTGCCCTCGCAGAGCCAGGAATCTAGAGCAAGGAAGGCCCCGCCAAAGTGGCCACTCACCGATGAGGACCGCACTGTCCAGGTTTCGGAGCTGGGCCAATAGCTGCCCCCGCGCCCGGAAGATGGGCAGATTCCGGCGCTGCAGCTCCAGGGCCTCGCGGTAGGGACTGGCCGACGGCTGGGCTAGCGGCGGCGTCGGCCTCCGGCTCCCTCCTGCTCCGCTGCCGCCGCCAGCTGTCAAAAGCATCACTACTCGCCTCCCGGGAGGGCAAGAGCCCGGCCGGAATCTCTTGGCCGGCGGGAGACCCGCCTCCTCCGGCATGTCGGGAGGACCGCGGCAGGAGGCGCCGCCGCCGTCAGCTCCGCTCCGCTCCGCTCAGCGGTGGACAGCAAGTGCGCACCGCCCCTTTCTCAGCACGTGCAGGCGTGTCTGGGCGACCACCGATGACCTCACAGCCTACTCCAGACTTTAGGAAAAGAACTCCAATTCCCGACTTGCACTGTGGGTTTGGGCAACATATACATCCTGTGAGAGCAAGGCTCGGGGTGCGACCTAAAAAACTGCCCGAGCAACAACAGGAAAAGATAGCTACGCGGTTCCTAAGGCCGTTGTTGGATAATGGCGTTGTTCTCTTGGACTCTCGTTATACCAAAGCTATTTCCAATAAAAGTGAGAGTTCCATCTCGGTCTCAAAACACTTGTCACATTTTAAGGAAATTACTTAATTCTGTAAAATCAATGAGGATTATAAACATTTAATCTTCTAAACAATGCATATTTTAAGGTACCTACTTATATCTCCGATATACTCTGATGCTGCAAGAATTTTGAAAATGTTACTAGTGAGTATCAAGTTATAGAAAAGTGATCAATAATTCTGATAGGCTAAAGTAATACAAGAGGAAAAAAGGAAATTGTCTTTAACTCCTCTCCCAGTAATTCCTACCCGATTCTCAAATTATTTACACAGCTCTCCAGTCCTGTTTGTACACACCTTAATCAACGGGGTTACTCATTACTCTCACAGAAAGCTTGCATATAACCAGTTCTTCCTTCCCGTTCTAAATACAAGCTCTAGGATGTGGGCGTTTTACTTGTATGTTTGTGAACTACTTGCATGCACAGGCCAGAGGTGGGTGCTGGATCCCCAGGAATTGGAGTTAAAGGCAGTTGTGGTCCTCCTTCTGAGTGCTTGGAACCCAGGTCCCCTAACAGAGCAACTAGTTCAGCCAGGCGTTGGTGGCTCAAGCCTCTAATCCCAGCACTTGGGAGGCAGAGGCAGGAGAATCTCAACTCATGAAGGATGCCCACCAAATTTAGTATGTGGACCTGCTTTTTAAAAAAACCCAGAAGGGGCTGGAAAAATAGCTCAGGGGTTAAGAGCATTGACAGCTCTTCCAGGGTACCAGGGTTAAATTCCCAGCACACACATGGCAGCTAACAACTGTCTATAACTCCCAAGATCTGACACCCTCACACAAGGATACATGTAGGTTAAACAACAATGCTAGAAAAAAAAAAAAAAATTGAAACCCCCCAGACATGGACTTCTTCCAGGCTGTTGTGGAACCTGATTTGGCTTGTGGGCCTTGGTCCTACTGAGATGCTTCAAAGCTTTATTAAGAATGCCTGGGTCCCCATGAAACCCTATTATACTCAGATTTACCAGAAAATTTGGGTAGGAATGGGGTTACTGACCATTCTTTTTTAAAATCAGGAGTGCTGAAAAGAGAAGTGAAGCTTTGGAAGGCTCCAGTCCTCTACCCTCTCTACCCCCCATCATCAACCAATCCTCGCGAAATGAATGTCCACAAGCTGTGTGAGATGGGAACATCCGCTGTATACTTATATAAATATCATTTATAATATGGCCTTAATTGTATCTGAGTAGTAAAAACATAAACCAAACCAAAAAAAAAAAAAAAAAAAGGCATAATTTTGATCTAGCTTCCGACAGTGTAACTAGGTGCTAATATAAATGTCCAAGTTGAGTGTGTTTAGGATGCATGTTAAGAATATATTGACTTGGGGCCAGCGACAGGGCTTGAGGTTAAGAATGCATACTGCTCTTTCAGAGGACCCAAGTTTGTTTCCTAACATCCATGTCAAGCAGCTCACAATCACCTGTAACTCCAGCTCCAGGAGATCCTACACTTCTAGTCTCCAAGGGCACTTGAACTTATGTGCATATAGTTTACACAAAGACACATATGACACATATAAGTACATATAATTTTAAATTACATTAAATAACAAATAAATCTTAGAAAAATAAGTTGCTTTATATCCCCTCCCCTCAACGTTGATTTATGAAAGCAACCAATCCCTTACAAAGAAAAATAACTTACATCAAATTATAGACCTTGAGTAAAGAAAAGGCAAACATCAGTCTTTTTCTGGCACACATTCTGAGCAACCTAATGTGGAAGTCTTACAGTCCTAAATGATTACAAGAATCCAAATAGGTCATATAAATAAGTGAAATACTTAGTGGGTAAAACACCTCTTTAAAAAAAAACTTTATACCTTTATTGATTGTGTGTGCATGTCAGGGGGGGTGGGGGGAAGGGAGGGAGAGAGAATAGACATTAGATGACAACTTATGTCAGTTGCTTCTCTCCTTCCACCATAGGGAGCCTGGGAATTGAACTCAGTTCTTCAGGCTTGGTGATAAGGGCCATTACCTCTGGAACTATCCCACCAGCCACACACACACACACACACACACACACACACACACACACACACACACACAAACCCTTTCTCTAGAAGCATCCACTTATCACAGGCAACAGTTATCATGCAGGCCATTTTTTTTTTTATACAAGAAAAGCAAAACAAAAATTTGGTATGCGTTTGAAATATTGGATCAATTTCTTTTAATGAAGGCAAAATGTAATATTTCTATAAGGAACTCATTCCTAGCAACCCACTTATTCAGTAGCCTCAATGATAAAATAATCAGAGTTGAAAACTTTAGTCCTTTATTACTTAGACCATATTGTTCACATGTCCTTCAGTGGCAGTTTGAGATCTGCTGCCCCTCCAAAACAAGTCTCCTGTGGTTCAGTGGCTTTCACATTTCGAAGCTAACACACTAAGCATTCAAAAATATCCTGATCTTTCCTCTAGAAGACCATTTGTCAGAAACATTCCATTCTTATCTGACTCCCTAATCTAACTGTGACTATACCCGCTTATGATCACTTTGGCTTGCATGGTCACCAAATCATTGATTGCCCTTTTCAGCTTTGCTCCAATCTTAAATCTCAGCAACTAGGTGTAAGTTCGCATACATACACATTAATCCTCTCATAATTAAAAATACAAGATAATAGTTTGCTGATCAATGAACAAAGTATTTATTCAGCACCCATGTGCCAAGCACAGTGCTAGGCACTGTGGTGGATACAAAAATTAAGACACAGTCCCTGCCCTTAAGGAGCTTACATTCTCATGAAGGAAACAAAACTAACATACATGTAGCAGCTAGGAACAGTACAAGACAATATATGGTTTGGTATAAGAGTTAGTACAGATTTGAAGCTTCATAGGGATTCAAAGAAGATAATGAACTAGACTTTAGTATTAAGATTTGAATGTCAGGGTCTTGAAGGACTGAAGAGACTTAAATTGAGGTCATTGATAGGTAGAAGTGGGAGCAAGCTTCAAAGGAAGACAGAGATGTGCATTTGATAAGGACCAGGAACTGACTACAGATTTCTGCGCAGTCACTCATCCATAGAAGCAAAGTTCAAGAGCTTTGATGAAAACTCAAAATAGTAAGTAGCTTAGTCATCCTGAAGAGGGGCAAAGGGCGGGACATTGGCTAACACAGATAGAACTCATCTGTCAAAGGAAAACACAGCCACAAAATAAAACAGTGGCAGAAGGCATGGCAATTCTAGGAAGCATGTTACACAACATGCCAATAGCTCAAATGTTTCCTGATTCCCAGAGGCCCCCAGAGACAGTGTTATGGTTCCATTTCAAGATCCAGGATGTGGACTTTTAGCCTCACACAAGTACAAAAGAAATATAAAAGACACAAGGGCACAGAAGGATGACAGAAAAAGAAGTGGAAGAAACAAGTAAAAATTCATAGTGAAAAAAACACACCAAAGTATATAAAATGTATCTCCTATGGAGATGCAATGGCATGTCCATTCATCTTTAAATGAACATATATTGTAATTCTATAACAACAAAACAAAACCCCTATGCTTTAGGTGTGCTTTTCAGTTATTTCTGGTACAATCCAGGAAATGTCTCAAAACTGTACTCATGTACACTTAACCAGTCACAGAATCTCATAATCCAATCTTACTTTTCTGTTGACTCACTTTACAAAAAGGAAGTATGTTTTAGAAGAATCAGAATCAAGAGGTTTGCTTGGGAAATGAGGACTTTTCCTTGTATCCAGGTAAGCACAGAGATCCTGTCAAACTACACAGGGCCAGGGACAAATGTGGGACTGGCCAAACTACTAAGAGGCCAAGTGACTGAAATTGGCACTCCCAGGGCACAGTGTGGAGCACGGTGTGGTATTTTGCCACTAGGAATTGACATCCTAAACATCAGACTGCTTTAGGCTATGCATCCAAAATGCATCTCCTGTTTTATCCAGTCATTAATATGTACAGGTATTCACTACTTAAAATGCATTTCTTGTTTTGCCCAGTCAGTAATATGTACAGGTTTTCACTACTTAAATGAACAGCTGGTGAAGAGATTTTAGAATTAAATCTTTACCACAAAAAATTCCACTAAGTAGCTACATTTAAAATTAGCTCCGGGACAATAAATAAAACCTAAAGAAACTCATTTCTGGCTCAAAAGCAAGCAATAATCATAAAAATAAATTCCTAAAAGTTACCAACCAATAAAGCTATCTTGAACAGAAACAATGATTAAACTTAAGAATTCCATGAGGTTCATACAATCTAAGATTGTCATTAAACTTAAGAGATTTTTAAACAAGAGAAAAGCAGTCGCATTAAAACATGGTCCATAAAATCCTCTTCAGTTATTTATTAGCAACATGTAACATGCCAGTACTCATTTAATTCCCTATGTATATTCCACTTAAGTTGGTAAAATGCTTTCCATCTCAAAGACGGCCTAAAAATGTTCACCTATAATAATATTTACTATAGCTTATTTAAGTCTATGCCAACCTCTGAGAAAGAGCTCATTCTGGAAAGCAACTCAGCCAAAATAGAGTGATCCAGTCTGGGGAGTCCTGTGCCTATCCGATGTTTATGAAAACTATCTGAGATCATCGTTCTCGGTTCTGATAAAGCAGCACAAATGTAAAACAAGATGTACTATCTTTGACAAGCATTCAGTGAATCATCAGTGTGGTTGCTTCCAAATACCCTGATTCCTACCTGACCTCCTGGGAAGGTGAACCAGGCACCTGGCTCTGCAAAGGTTTTGAGCTCTTCTTGAAATGAATGACAAGAGGAACACATGCCCAACTGCTGCCCATTCATATGCCTGTGCTTTGACAAAGGGTGGCCATTACTAACTTGGGCATTTCTTAGTGGAGAAATTCCAGCTAAAAGAGAGGTCACAGTTGCTTTTTGTTTACAGCTGACTTGCCTACAGAGTCCTCTGCTACAAGAAATCACCCTCCCTCCTCTCTTCTGTGGTTTTCAGGCAGAGAACCATCTGAATGGCAGAAACCCATTTTCCTCCTACCGAGGCTACCACTTTGAACTAGTCAGAGTACGCAGCAGCTGTATAATTCCAATCTTGAAATCAAATCCAGTGGAAAGCAGTGGAGACACGAGGACAGACACGGAAACCGCTGCGTTCACACCTACGCAGGAAAGCTAGAACACATTACCATGATTTAAAAGATCACACGAAGCTTAAATACAGTGCGAGAGAGATGGAATTCAGTTTTATTTTGTCCTCTCTGAAACTTCCATTTACACCACGGCCTTGTCTATCAATGAAGAGGAGGAAACACCCTGTCTTACGCCACAGAGCTCAAGTACCCACGTACTTGTTAGAGGCAGCAGGGTGTCTGTTTCTCCGTTTTTTTGTTTTTTGTTTTTTTTTTTTTTTTTGGCTCCAAGAGGTTATACTTTTAGTACCAGCATAGTGAGGAACCCCTGGCAAACTGCTGGAAATGTCTTCTGTGTTAGTCAGTGTACCATTCCGTAAAGTGCTTCTGGAGTTAAAATCTGTCACGCTATCAAAAGTGTCCACACTTTTGCAACAAGGGATGAAAGAATCCCAATGGGCATTTCACTGAGTCCTTCTCAGATGGGCCTCATAACCGGGACAGCTGCATTACCCTCCAAGGCGCTGCCCCTCACCCCAGGCGAAGCCTCCTGGCCGCTCTTCAGGTAGTGGGTTGTAATTGGGATCCTCATCTGGTGTATCAAAAATAGTCCTCCTAAAACACACAGAACCATTCATTGCCAGAGCCATCTCGGATTGGAAGTACTAGGGAGCAGTTCATCCCCACAGGACTTCCACAAACAGAGAAGCATTACCTCTGCCTGCCAACTAAAGAGGTCTGACACCTTAAAGGCTCCACAATTACTTAACATTTGCATTAACTTACCTCCTCTACTGATTTTTACCACAGAAGCAATAAATGCTGACAAGGTACCTGGAAAAGTCAAATCCACAGGCACAGGCTGCTGCCTGGTGACAGGAATAGGGAACTACTCAATGGGCAGAGTTTTAGGATTACAAGATAAAAACATTCAAAGGATAGTGGCCATAGTAGCAACACAAATGCCCTTGACACCAATGCACTGCTCATTTAAAAATGGTTAAGATAACGTATTTTGTGTTGGGATGTGTCCACTTAGTTTCAAGGACATTCATCACTCCAATTACAAAAGGAAAAGCAATAACTAATGTCAATGTCCATTAATAAGGGACTAACAAAATTACATTAAATATGAATCACAGAATATCACATAGCCAGTAAAATTCTGCAGGACATTTATAATGGAAAAGTAACCTCTCCTCCCTCAAGACAGGATTTCTTTGTGTAGTCCTAGCTGTCCTGGAACTGGCTCTGTAGACTACACTAGCCTGGCCTTGAACTCAAAAGATTCGCCTGCCTCTGACCTCCAAGTGCTTGAATTAAAGGCATGTGCCACCACACCCAGTTAGGAAAAACAATGATTACATATTAAATTAAAAACTACATTTTAGCTGGGCGAGGGTGGGGATTCTTTTAATTCTAGCACTCAGGAGGAAGGGGCAGGCGGATTTCCATGAATTCAAGCGAGTTCCAGGATAGCCAGGGCAACTCAAGAACCCTGCCCCCCCAATACAGATAATCTGGAGAGACGACTCAGAAGTTAAGAGCACTGCTTACTCTTGTAGAGGACCCAGGTTTGTTTTCCAGCATCCACATCAGAGGGTTTATAACCAGTTGTAACTCCAGTTCTAGGAGACATTGTCTGGTCTCTGCAGGCACATACACCCATACATACAGTGCACATGGAATGCAGGCATATAGCCTTGTCACATTTATAAGATATATCTTTAAAGGAAATTAAAATTATATAGCTATTTAAAAAAAAAGCATATACAGTTACCCCATCCCATGTTCAGCCCTAAACACACCTACACACAAGCAACCCAAATGGACCAAATAGGTAAAGAGATTTTGTAAATGTCTGTATAATGGTAATTTATAAAGAGGTCATAAATTGGATAGGGAGTAGGGATACACAGGAGTAGAAGGGGAGGGAGGGAGAAGTGGAAATGATTTAAATACAGTAATCATGTAGGAAATGATCAAAAAGCTATGAAAGGTGCAAGACTACCTATCAAAAGTCAGTCAAGGGAAACAGCTACGTATAAGAATTACAGAAGACTTTACTTCCTGTGGTGATTTGAATAGGTATAGCCTCCACAGACTCGTGTTTGAATGCTTGGCCCATGGGGGTGGTTCCATTAGGAGGTGTGGCCTTGTTGGAGGAAGTGTGTCATTTGGGGTGGGTTTTGAGGTTTCCTATGCTCAAGCTATACCCAGCGAGACAGACCAGTTCTTGTTGCTCGTGAGTCAAAATACAGAACTCTCAGCTCCTTCTCCAGCACCACGTCTGCCTGTATGCCCCATGTCCTGCCATGATGATAATGGACTAAATCTCCGAAACTGTAAGCCAACCCCAATTAAATGTTTTCTTTTATAAGAGTCATGGTGTCTCTTCACAGCAACAGAAACCCTAATTAAGATACCCTTTCCTTCTGTTTATTTGTTGTTGTTGTTAATTAATTAAAAAAATTCCTCTTGAAATGGATTCTTGGTATGTTACCTAGGCTGACATCAAGTTTTAAATTCTGCCTTAGACTTCAGAGTGGAGAGGATGACAGGCATATACTAGCAAAGTTCATTCTTCTTCTTCTTTTTCTCTTCTTCCTTAAAGATATATTTACTTTCCTTCTATTTATTTTTCATTTTAGTTTTTCTTTTTAAAGGTTTATTTCTTTATTTATTTTATGTATATGGGTATTTTGTCTGCATGTAAATCTGCAACCAGAAGAGGGCATCAGATCCATGGGATCACAGCTATAGATAGATGGTTGTGAGCCACCATCAGCATGTTGGGAATTGAACTCAGGACCTCTGGAAAAGCAACCAGTGCTCTTAATCATTGAGCCATCTCTCCAACCCCTTATTTTCATTTCATGTCTGTGGGTGTTTTGCCTGCATGTATGTCGGTGCATTATGTGCTTGTAGTGTCTGTAGAGGCCAGAAGATGGCGGTGGATCCCAGGGAACTGAAGTTATAAACAGTTGTTAGCCACTATGTGGGTGTTGGGAATTGAACCCGGGTCTTCTAAAAGAACAGCCAGTGCTGCTAACCACTGAACCATCTTCATTCTTTTTTGGTTAACTATTGTACAACAGAGAATTTGTGTCAAACCATTTTTTTTCATCTCAACGGAGCCTTGTTTGTTTGTTTTTGAGACGGGGTTTCTTTGTGTAGCCCACCACTGCCTAGTGAGGTCCCCCTGGCCCCCCTCCTTAATGTAATAGTTCCCAAAGACACAAAATTCTATAGCAGAAACAGGCCTTATAAATCAAAACTCTAGCTCAGGAAACTGCAGGATAGAAATAAAGAGATATGCTTCAAATCAGACTGCTTGGTGGTAGAACTGTTAGTCAGGCTTCAATTCCAAAGCTTTCTCCATTCTGTTTCCCTATGTATCTCCACCACCTGCTTTGCCGGTCAGAACACCACCAGAAATGTCCTCTCAACTTTGGCTCATTCACTTCTCATTGATTTCTCTCAACTTGGGACACCAGCTTTCATAAAACCAGCAGGCTTCTCTCTGGCACCCAAGTTCTAGTGGTCACTCAGGACAATAATTGCAAACTCACCCCCACAGCATCAAGAGCCCAGTAATCACAACCCTGGCCTAATCTGTTTCTGGCCAATCCAAGAGTTCCCCATTGCAGACATATTGCTCAATCTGCAAACATTGATATGAGTCATGTGCATCAGGAGCTAAGGGAGCCCAAAATGAACCATGATCACGGTTTGTCTGCATGGAATATGAAACATGGCATTAAATACTCACAAAATAGAAGGTGTTTTCAGAATTCTTATCCCACCAGGCTGATTGGGAAATATATCTTCCAAGAAAAAATATATGTGCCCAACTGCAATACCTATAATCAACCAGAAATAAAGGATAAAAAGCAAGGTTAAAATTTCAATTTTTAAGTTCCCTAACAACATAGGCTTTATTTAGAATAAATGTAATTATTAAAAATCAATGAGGTAATATTATCTTTCAGATCTAATATTAAACAATAGCTAAATATGAGGCTAAATAGAATAAACATGAAAGACAGTGACAAAATACATTTTCAGGTATAAGTACAAAAAGTAGTGATGAGATGCTTACCCAGAAGGTCCACAATAATTGAGTTCCCCAATAATAAGGAAAACCCCATGAGCACCCAGGGCAGAAAGGGGGCCTGGAAGTTTAGAAGACCAAAGAAGTTCATGCGGACATATGGATTCCTTCGGCTCCACACGTAGACCAGCATTATTGTAAAGGCTTGGCCTAAAAAAACTAAGCTCACAAACAAACCAAAAAGCTAGCAAATGGAATTAAGGAAAATATCAACATGAAAGCATATTAGGGAAGGCTAAGTATGAGAACCAAAGAATGAATGCCCTTTCACTAAAATCTGAATTAGATAAGCTAAGTAGTGAGTGGCATTTTTAAACTGTAATAAGAAAAGCCTGTAATTAATTATCCAAGGCAACTAGGGGGAAAAAATGGCTTGGGCTAAGTTATCCAGATCACAGCTACAACTGACTAACTTCTGCTTTTGTGATGTTCTTGCCCTTTTGGAAAACATTAATTCTTTTGTCAGTAAGTACAGTGAAGATCACTCCCACTGACACCTTCACAGGTGCTAAAGCACACAGGCTGGAACAAAGCCTTGGCACACAGCACTAATCTCAGTCTGTTACACACAGCAAAATCCTTGTCTTTTTAAAAATATTCAATCAGCTTAAAAAGCGACTTAGTACATGCCTTACCAACTTAGTGACAGTGAAGTCTCCCACCAACAGTGATGTAACTGAGATAGATGCTTCAAGACAACCCACCTGGGTTAAAAGTTCCTGCTCGGCGAAGCCTCCTGTCCAACCTCTAGGCTTGGAAGCTGTCACAGTGGGCTGAGAAGTAAGTGGGAGCACCCTGAGGCTACAGTCTGGAGATCTACTTTTATCTGTTTGGAGTAGCTACTGAATCACGGGAGACAGATGAAGCGACTGAGGAATAAACAGTCTGTTCTTTACTATTTTCCTGTATTCTATTTGTTGAAGGATACAGTCATTAAAAATCCACCAAAAAGGAACATAAATACAAAGTCTGCTGTCCGGCCTCGGAAAGAGCCTTCTTCTAGCATTCGACAGTAACGGTATCTTAAGGTTCAAGTTAAGAAAATATTAAGGGCACACATAAGAAGAAGATAAAATGTAGTGAATAACTGAAACATACTTGGGCTTCATACTACACAGTCAAGCTGCATTTCTCTAAGAATGTTTAAGTAGTAATCTGGTTTCTTTGTTTCCCATCAAGCATTTTAGGCAACAACAAATCTAGCACCATATTTTACAAAGCTGGTCCCTGGCTGGGGAGTTAATTCAAATACTGCATGAACAGGCTTCTACTCACTATTACATTTCTTCCAATTTGTACTATTGTCTTGGCCATGTTCACACACACATGAATTTGCACCATCCTTGGCTTGTCAATTTGGAAGAAATCCCTGTAAAGAGGCCTTGTGTGATAACTACTTTTCCAGGCCAGGCAGGCTAAACATTTCTATATTCCAGTCTATAAAAACCGTATCAAAACAAACTTTTATAAGAAACTTATCAGGATGATAGCCTATGTAGGAAACACAAAAAGCTATTCTAGGACTTAAGTCCCAAAACCCCTACAGGCCCTCTATCTCCTACAGATGAGGTGCAGTGCTGGATTCAAGAGGAATGCGTAGCTCAGCACATCTAATCACCATCTGACTCTTACTACGGCTCTTCCTGTCTTTCAACCAACCTACATGGCAAGCCCAGCAGACATTTTGGCACTCACTTTTTTTTTTTTAGCCTTGAAATCATGGTTCCCACTCTCATAAAGCCATTCTAAATCTGGGGAAAATTCTGTTGCGTTACCAATGTCTTAGGCTGATTTACCACTGGGCAAGCTGATGCCGTCATTATTTTATACATATGCCTAAAATGGGGCGTGGGGAGAGGGAGAGGGAACTGGGATTGACATGTAAAACAAGCTTGTTTCAAATTTACATATAAAAAAAGAGAAAAGGAAAAAAATGTGCCTACAATAAATCACAGTTTAATGACATCCAATCTTTTAACAGTTGTAACCTTCTATGTAAACAAAGAGCTACAAAGAGTTTTGAAACATTACAATCTAATTACAAACTACAAACCCAGATGTCATGACTAGGTCTGTTGTAACATAAAATGTTATAAAATATAAACAAGAGTAATAGTTTCAACTTACAATGTATTCTAAATGAACCTAAAGTTTTGATGTTGACACCACTTAAAAGGATACAGAAAAATCATGTTAAACAAAAAATTGAATCCAACTGGACCAAAAAATAAGAAATTGGTGATTAGCCTCCATATCTGCAGGGGTGGGTGGTGGGGGTGGGTGGTGGGTGGGTGAGGGGTGGGGTGGGGACAAGAGAAAGACACATTAAGTAATATACATAATCAGGAAACATTTTTATAGTAAGATATAAACATTCTATGAATGATGTTGAGGCTCCAAAGTCCTAGGTGGGGGTCCATTCAAATGTGATACCCAATCTGATTCTGGATTTGGGGTGTGTGTGATGCTTCTACTTAAAAGACCAAAAGATATTAATTTGACTGTGAAATTATATGGACGATAGGACAAAAAAAATTCAAAATCACAATTATCTTTTATAAAGCAACACGAGCAAATTGTGGAAGCTGTCTGAATAAAGAGCTAGGTTAGTTTGCAGAACAGAGTGCTTTTATAAGTGTAGTCACTGTAAGGAGGAGTTTACAGGTACTACAAACTTCAGGGATCCAGCATTCAAAGGCACTGAGAAAAGTTCCTGTATTAGCCACAACATTCTGGTGGAAAAATTCTAAGACAGTCGGGTTCTTCCTTGACTTCCTCCAAGAATTAATGCTCCAAGAGGCAAGGGAAGGTATAAGAGCAGTCTCACTCTGACAACCTACAACTGCCCACAAAGCTTTATGTGATTTTGGTAATCTTGTGAGACAAGGAGGCTGATGTGGCGGTCCTCACTTCATAGATAAAGGATCTTAAGACATGAGGGTTTGGTCAGGTGTGCAGCAAGATGGAGGCTCTTGATAGCAAACCCAGAACTCACTATTCCAAACTTCGTGCAGGAATTTAATCTTGGACAGGGATGGTTGCTCATGTCTATAATCCTAGTACTAAGCAGCCCAGGCAAGGGGATCACACAATTGTTTTTAAGGGTTGCCCAGGCTACGTGGTTTTGTTGTTGTTTAAAAAAAAAAAAACCTAGGAGGCTGAGGCAGGAGGACACCACGAAACCATGCCAGCCACAGCTATAAAACAAACGATCTCAAAAAACAAACCAGGCAATCACACCACACAAGTCAGTAGGAAGCAATCCCAGGAAAGGCTACAGGAAAATGAGCCACAGGCAATGGCATAACTGGAGGGCTGATCGCTTCATACACCATTAAACACTCCATCATTGGTAACTATTTGGGACAATTAATGTTGACAATCACCTATAAGACAAATTCTGGGCACTCCTAGAATAACTAGAGTCCTAGAACAACTAAATAGGAAGAAGGGAACTGAGCAACCTACTCTTGTCTGTTTCCTCACTAGGGCTGCAATGGGACCAAAGGCCTTAAGCTCTGGATGCCGTGACTTCCCAACCACAATGGATTTAACCAACAAACTGAGGGTCAAATAGTTTGGTATTTCATCACATCAGTGAGAAAAGGAACCAGCACTCTCTTCACATGGAAACAATCCAGTTTTATGGGATCACACCTAAGAGTTCGTAGAATCCTAATCCCAGTATGGACACTGCACATAAAACCCCCCAAGTCAAGCTGGATGGCGATAGCCCATGCCTTCAATCCCAGCACTTGGGAGGCAGAGGTAGGCAGATCTGTGTGAGTTCAAGGCCAATCTGGTCTAGAGAGTGAGTTCAAAGATAGACAGGACTACATGGAGAAACCCCGCATCAAAAAACCAAACCAACAAAAAACCCCAAGTAAGGGTGAGAGATGTGATTTATCTGAGGACATACAAAAGCTGCATCTTGAAGGGCAAGCTAGAGTTCAGAGGGTACAATGGGAGTGTAATACATTTGGGACAGGGACTAGCACCAACACAGCAGAAGTATAGCCACTGAGACCCAGCCTTCACCTGGAGTGTGAATGATCATCCTGGCATGAAAACACACTTCTCTTCAGCATTTTAATCGCTGGAGAAAGACTTCTTCAAACTGTACTCTAATAAGCCAATATACTGTTTTAGAGAATGGTCTTTTAAACTTGTATTAGTAATGATCTGACTTCTGGAAGACAGATCAGTGCTAAAGCTTTACCAGAAATGAGTTTATGAGCTAGAACGTAGGGATTAACAACAGTGGTAGGTGTGTCTGGGTGGTGAGTGGACGAAATAAGGCTATCCTGTGAGACTCCCTGGACAGCTTAGCTTGTCAGTCTATTCTCAAATAATATCATCATCGTCATCACCACACCACCGTTATTATTATTATCATTGGTTGTTGTTACTATTGCTTGAGTTTTGAGACAATTCCTTGATGTGTAGTTCAAGCTGGCCCCGGCTTCCTGACTGCTGGAATTACAGACCTATTAATTCTTAACTAGCATAGTCAAATACAGGAACTCAATACACCAAAAGCAAACTAAAAGTAGAAGATGCATTCCAAATTCTCACCCTTGGCAATTTTCTTAAGACAGGATCTCCCTAGGTAGCCCAATCTAATCCAGAATTTGCCATCCTCCTGCTTGATCTGCTGGTGCCTGGCTCCACCCTTGGCAATTCAAATTTGTTATATGAAAAAGAGCTCACAAACACCTAACAGCTCTTAAATGATTCTGGAGTCCAACTAGGCTGCAGAATTCCTTCTTTACATCTCAATAAGACTTATGATTGGAGGTCTCCCCAACCACCCCCCAGATTATTTTTTGAGATTGTGTCTGACAGGATTTATTACTTACTAAACAATAAAGAAAAAAAGGTAGTGTTAACATTAACAATAGTAGCTATAGAACACTTACTTGAAAATGTTTAAAAATTAGTTCAGGGTTGAAGTATAACTGAAAAGGTGTGATCAATTCCAACTGCTGAAATGGAAAAAGAGCTTCTTAAATGAGATCAATCGTAAAACAAAATCTCAGCATTATTGACAAAGGGCCAGTAGCTCTAATAGTTTCTGTTGCCAGTTGGACTAAATTTCTGTCTTGCTTGTGATGGCTGGTAAGGGATTCTTTGGAATTCGCACAACTGTTTTATATCCTCAATACCCAATTCGAGTTTGATGTTGCAATATTTGAAGGTGCTATAAAGCAGGCAGGTGGGGATGTTTTAGAGACAAGACAACAGCATCTTTTACGAATCTGTGTGTCTCGTGGTCAGCACCTGAAAAAGCTGGGCGAGACAACTCTGAATAGCAGATTCGAGGCCCCGTTACTATCAGGGCTAGATACAGGCGGCCAGTTCTTCTATCCACGGGCCATCTTTCGAAAGATGTTTCCAGACCACTCGATAATATATATTATCCTTAATACACTAGTCTGAGAATCTAGCGGACCTTGCTCCCACTGGTCACCTGGCCACAGCTAGGGCTGGGATACATTTTTGGGTGGGCGGCTCCCGCAGCTCTGACTCGCTACAGGTCTGGATTTCATCTCTCTGTAACTGACCTGCCCCTTCATGGAGGAGCACTTCCTTTTCAGGTCAATGGCTTGGCACCCTTGGGACTATCCCGAACCCTAGAGTCAGCTCCGGATGTCTCCACCCACCCCTGGGACTAAACCCTCTGGGTTTCTCTGCGGCCCAATCCCGTTTTCTGAATACCCAGTCATAGCTAGCCTGAAAAAGGAGGACGTGGCGCCACAGCTGCTCACCACGGCCGCGGTGGTGAGGACGCAGGCGGTAGTGTAGGCGCGGCTGACCGGCGGGATCTGCAGGTACTCCAGCCGGAGACTCTGGTACGCCATCTTCCCCACCGCGCCTGCCCCCCTTCCCCTTCCGCCAGTATGCCAGGCGGCGGGGCGGACTCAAAGCCGGCCTTCAGCCTTACCACCGCTGCCCAACCAGCGCCGGGCACTCGGCCAGCGACCAATCGCCGGCGCCTTGGGGACCGCTCACCCACCAATCACGAGTCGCGCCTCCGCGTCGGCCCATCCTTACTTCTCTGCCTACCAACGAAGAGAGAAAGTGCCAGTTCCTTCCGCCAATCCCGGCCGGCCACAGCTAGCTTCCCCTCCTTGTCCCCTTCCTTTCACCAATCCAAGGGCCCCGTTTTGACGCCAGGGCCAGCCAATCAGGAGTGTGATCCAGCCCGCCTTTGCGTTCGTTCGCAGAGACACGTTTCAGTCGCTGCTGAGGAGCTGCTGCCGCCGCCTTCCTTTTGTAGCTCCGTGCGGTTTGAAGGGAGTGGCGGGAAGCCGGCGTGTGGCGGGCTCCATCACCCCGGGATCGCTTCGGTAGGGGCTGTGTGTTCTCCGAGGAGGAGCGGAAAGGGCGGGACTGGATGAGCGTTCTGCAGGGTACCCTAAACACGGCCGGGCTGGGCCTGGAGACCTGGAGGTCCCGGCATGCAATGCGGCCGCAGGGTGGGACGGGAGCTGGAGCTGCCGGAAGCGCCGCCCGCTCTGCGGTTTCTGGCATTGTCTGTGCTAGTCGTGGGCTCCGTTACACTCCCCGAGATTGTGCGGGAACCTCCCATGTCTAACTTGAGCCACAGGAACTCTATATCTAGCAGAGAAGACGTGATAGATGAGTTAATAGCACTGAGGGGAAAGCGAAGGAGGTAGTGGCTGGTTCTTGAGGGATGTGTGTTCGAACTGGTTCTTGAAGGATCCGTGCTCGATGCGTGCCTACTTGAAATAGAATTCGATTGTGTTGGAGCAAAGACTATCCTGGTCGTGGCAGAAGCATTCGGCAAGTTAATAGAAGCATTTAAAAAATTGTGTGTGTGTATGGGGGGGTGACTGTCAAGTCTAGTAGGAACCAAGTGAATATTGGAGAGAATGGCGTTTAGAAATAATATAAGGCTGAACGCAGTGGTACCTGCCTGTGACTTTGTTGAGTCTTGACGTTCTAGAGGAGATTGGGGGCACACATAAGAAGAGTGGTTTTTACTTGTTTGTAAAATTACAGTTTCATAGCTACCGCCTCGCTATAGCATTGCCAGTGAAACAGAAAAGGCAAAATTGGAACTTTTCTTTGACTGGAAGTTTGGATTTAGGAACTTGGTTAGAATTGGGGAGAGAGAGAGAGGGAGGAGTGTGTGTGTGTGTGTGTGTGTGTGTGTGTGTGTGTGTGTGTGTGTGTATCACTGGTACATCGGTCCAGGATTGTTGAGAACTTTGAGTCAAAGTTACGATGCAAACCTAGAGAAATATAATGTGCAGGTTGTCAGTGTTTTTAAAGTATAGTGTGTGGCTGGGAATATAGCAGTAGTGTGCAAACTTGCTTGTAAAAGGCCCTGTGGATATAATGCATAGCACTATAGGAAGGAAAAACAAGTTTGTGACTACCAAATTGGCAAAGAGTGTGGGCAGATAAAAGAAGTTCCAGACTATTCCAAGTGTGTGTGTAAATCAACATAGATGTTCTGAAAATGTTTCAGCAGTATTTATTGACACTACATATGCAAATATCTGGCAAATCCCTAAGAAGATAACACCAGAAGATCTCAGTATCACCCCCCCCTCTGCAACTTCCTTGAGGAAAACTAAATCAGTTACTAGCAGAACTATTAGATGATGCTCATTTATTATCAACCCAAATGAATCAATAGCTCCAAGCCTCCTAGCAATTTACATGAGAATTAAGAAATGTTTTGAGACTATTTTGGAATACAAAGGATGTTTATCCTTCTAACACAACAGGCTCAAAACCAGTTCTCTAACCCATCAGTTATGAGCATAAAGAATATCCTATAAAATAAGACTTTTAACAGTGGAAGGCTTAAACAAGGACAGATGCTACCAAAATGTTTCATCCACTGGTGGGACAACTGAATACCCATGTCTCTTCCCTACTCTGATGATTTCTTTAGCGTGTGAGGAATGGTTTAGTGTCATTATCAAGTTAAAGTGAAGGCACAGCCACATAATACATATGCTCCACTTTAAAAAAAAAAAAAATGTAGTCAGCCGGTGGTGGCTCATGCTTTAATTCTAGCACTCACACTTGAGAGGCAGAGGCAAGTAGTTTCCCTGGAAATGCAATTATGGATAGTCTGAGCTTTATGTGGGTTCTGGAAACCAAACCTGGGCCCTCTGCAAGAACAGCAGGTGCACTTAACAGCTGGGCCATCTCTGACAGCCCTGCTCCTCCTCATCTTGATGTGTACTCAAAGGTCTGACAGGTTTCTTGATTATTTGTTTGGTAGGGAAGGAGTGTCTTGTTTTACATTGTGTATTAGTTCACCTAACACCACTGTCACAAACACAGGATAGATCTAAGGGGATTGGGTTTACTTCTTATGCATAATCATTGAATTTGTACGCCCTTTTCCTTTTGGGAATATCGACTTCATGCTAACCTGGGTGGGTATGGGTGTGGGTCATGGGCTGAGAGGGAGGATAGATGCATAAAAGGAAGCATTTTTTGTTTGTTTTGATTTTGGTTTTTTGAGACAGGATTTCTCTGTAGCCTTGGCTGTCCTAGAACTTGCTCTGTAGATCATACTGGCCTCATAGAGATCTACCTGCCTCTGCCTCCCGAGTGCTGGAATTAAAGGTCCTGGCCTGGACATTTACCTGGGATATGTTTGTGATAGAACTGATATACTGCTGTGGTCAGGGTTCGTCAGGTAAAGTGAGTGCAATAACATGAAGTGATTGGGACATTAAAATGTAAACATGGGCATATGAGACCGGAGAGGTGGCTCCGTAGTTCAAGTTGGGTTCCCAGTAAGTTGAGTTTCCAGCACTCACTCTCAGCTATCTATAACTCTAGCTCCAGGGAACCCAACACCTTTTGTTTTTTGTAAGCATTTTCATGTACGTGTATATACATAGGCGGATACATGCACATACACATAAAGAGTTCTAGGCCAGCCAGAGCTACCTGTCTAAAAACAGCACCACAGATTTTAAGAATATAGTCCTGACATCCTGCTCCTTGGGAGGCTAAGGTTAGAAAAGTTGTAATTTTGAGGCCAGCCTAAGCAATGTAGTGAGGCCCCCATCTCAACAAAACAAAACCCTAGTAGGAACATAATCTGTGAGAAGTGTTCAGGAAGTAAAAATCTTCCAGGCTAGAGATACTCTATGAACACTACAAAAACAAATTCTATTTATATAGCCACATAGTTATCACCACTGTATTTTAAACATACATACATACATATATATATTTTTCAAGGTTGATGGCATCCTGTCTTCTGATAAGATTGTCCACACCATTGTCTATACTATTTTTCACTTGAATCTTTAAAAAAAAAATCACCTGGTAGTTGAAGTAGCAATTTGTAGATTACATTAAGTACCCTTGCCTGAGAATGGAGTAAAACTTCTCTTATCCTCATAACAAACATATAGTTACTAGTAGGACAAAAAAGGTTAAATTACCATGCTACAAGGAAATGGGATGACATGTTTCTAGGTGCTTACATTGGAAAAGAATGCCTCTCAGAGGCTACCTTAATTGCCCTTCCCTGATAATGAGATTGATAGCTCTATGCCATCATAGAGCCTTCATCTAGTAGCTGATGGAAACAGAAGCAGACACCCACAGGTAAACACTGAGCTGAACTTCTGGAATCCAGTTGCAGAGAGAGAGGAATGATAAGAAAAGGGGTCAAGACCAGGCTTCAGAAACCCACAGAGACAACTGACCTGAACAAGGGGGAGCTCATGGGCACCCCCCCCCCACACACACACACTGATAGCTGGGAGGCCAGCATTGGACCAACTCAGATCCCCTGAACATGGGTCTCAGTTAGAAGGCCTGGGCAGTCTATGGGATCTCTGACAGTGGAACCAGGATGTATTCCTGGTGCACAAAAGGACTTTGGGAGCACATCCCCATGGAGGGATACACCCTTAACATAGAGACAGCTGACCTGAACAAGGAGGAACTAATGGACCCCCAGACTGATAGCTGGGAAACCAGCATTAGACCGACTCAGACCTTATGAACATAGATCTCAATTAGAAGGCCTGGGCAGTCTACGGGACCTCTGACAGTGGAACCCAGGATGTATCCTTGGTGCACTAAAGGACTTCGGGAGCACATTCCCCATGGAGGGATACTCCCTTAGCCTAGAGGCAGGAGGGAGGGCCCAGACCCTACTCCAAATGATTTGACAGATTTTGATGATCCCTCCTGGAAGGTATCACCCTCCCTGTGGAGTGGGCGTGGGGTGGGGTAGAGGAGTGTGGGAGGGAAAGGGAACTGGGATCGATGTGTAAAATAAGGAAAAAAAATATGTATATAAAGAAAATACAAACCAAGGGAATTCTGGGAATGGAAAATCTGGGGGGGGGGGGGGAAGAATGCCTCTCACATCCTTGAAACAAGTCAGGATAAAGGCTTGGTCATTTAGTTGGAATTTTTTTAGATGGCTAGAGTGGAAGACAATGAGGTAATTAAAATGATAGAATATGGGACCTAAAAAGAATGGGAAAAGAAGTGGATGGACTGAGAGCTACTTAAGGTACAAAGTGACTGACAATTAGACTAGTACAGGACAGTGTTAAGATGTAGCTCAGTTAGTAAAGTGCTTATCTGGGCCCTGGGTTCTAATGCCAGCACCACATAAAAAATTGGTTTATTTTGGTATCCTCTTATGACCCAAGCACTCTAGTGGTAGAGGGAGAAGGATCAGAAGTTCAAGATCATCCTCAGCTACATCCAAATTTGAGACCCGTTTTGACTACGTGAGTCCCTGTCACAAATGAAAGAGCTGAGGCCAACCTGTGGACTGCAGTTAGTGATTGTCTCAAAATGTGGTGGCATTGAAGCTCAAAAAAGCAGGTTTCTGGGGTATTAAGGCCACCTTTTAAACTTGCCCAAGATAAC